CTTCTTTAAACCAAAAGTAATAAAGGAACTGATGCAGCATAAAGCACAACACAAATGACACCGATGTAGCTTCTTTTTCCCTGCTCATCTCATTTTGTTTGACATGTTTAATAAATGTGTTTGCATAGAATAGAGCTGACAAGAATATTACTCTATAGAGTCTGAAAAACAATCATGTTTAATTACTGATCTTGGAGAATAAAGCGATTTGGATGTGTTACATATTTTGGATATACTGTTTTACTGTTCAACTATGCAGTAATTCTTAACGGAGCCAGAGAGCTTTTGTATTATTTCATAGCAGGTAAACCCCCACTCTCAGTTTGTGAATCCCCTAATATCCCTTGGGGCGTGTAGCAGTTGCAACATTTACTGCAGTCTGTCAGATTTCTTCCAGGCATCAAGCAGTTAATGTGTGGTTTCCTCAGTTAATCATACATAAAAAAAAAAACCTAATCAAATACACAACACATGACCAGTTGAGGGAAGTCCCGGTCTTATGAACAATAGTTATACGGAAATGCTGATCTGGTGTCTGTTTTTAACTTTGGAGAGTAAAATTGGGCGAATAGAAACTGATCTTATGTCAGCTTAACAAACATTACAACCCTAATCTGTGATAAAGCCTTTAAGGTAGCACAACAGCGCCCCTGGTAGTTGGTGTTTTTTGGCGCTTTCACCAATGGGCATGTGATTTCTTGTAAACTGTTTGCCTGGTAGAGCAGACTGGTAAATTAGGGGATTCTCAAACGTCTCCAGCAGAAGGTGAAACCATAGCTCTTGACTGCCATCTAGTGCAAATAAAAATTAAAAATAAAACACCCTTAGCCACATTAACCACCATGGTTGGAGAAGTAGGTTTAAGCAGTATCGTTATGCAACAGTGTTTTGTAGCAGTATTTTCAGTTTTGAAGTGTGGGTTTTGTGTTGTGGGAAGTCTGGTGGAGAGTGTAGATCCACATGAAACCACATGCTTTTAGGTGCGGAGGTGACAGTAACATCTGAGGGCCACGTGAATTTTAACAAAGAGACAGATTCACAAAATATCTGTATATTTTAGCAGAAGATTAAAAAATACTGAGACTTCATTATCTTGTTCATATACTCTTTAACAGGGACAGAAAACTAGCAAGTTGAGGGGGGGGAAACAGTCTAAATTCAGTTATAGTCTTTCTCACCACACTGTAGTGTGATAAGTAGTAGATAAATAGATAAATAACAGTGATTCAGAGGTTCAAGCTTACAACACAACTGTCAGATTCCCACAACCTCAGCAGTGTAGCAGCATGGCAGGAGAGGGACATAGTTTACTAAAAATAGAGTTGTGATAAAAAAAAAAAAAAAGAGCAACAGCACCCCAAGTGTTTATCTCATTTTCATGGTGCAACCAGGCAACCATGTGATTTCCTGTAACTCCTCAGTCTGGTGAACAGGCAATTGTAAGCTGGCTGCCTTTTGTAGAAGATACAAATAGATCTCGAGTGCCCCCAAGTGGGATAAAATAAGAAATGAATAAAATGCATTAAACTATATTGGGATAACATTATGTAACATGGTATAATGTAATAATACAATTATTTTGAACCCTAGCAGTTCTTTCAGAACAATCAATATATATATAACTCACTTCAAACATGCTGTATTGTGCAGATTTACAAGCCAAGGTCCCAAAGTACCCAGAGACACCAGCTGTCTTATGGTAGTTTGCTCCCCAGCTCCTCCTGTGTGTCCTCCAGAGTGTCCTTGGGTAAGACACTTAACTGCTTTATATGAGTGTGTGTTAATGGATGAACAAAAGGCAAAATTTTAAAGCACTTTGGATAAATGTGCCCTATACATGAAGTCCATATTAAATTCTAAAAATATGCATCAGACATCTAAAATATGTAGATTTCATGTAATACATGACACTGTTTGACAGTATGACATATGTATTCTGTATCAGCTTGTTCCAGCTATTTATTGAAAGTATATACTGTATACTGTAAACCCATATTATCAGGGCGGTAATGGAAAAATTATAATTATCCATTGCATAGTCTTTTTATTTCATTTTTGGCACATGACTTGCCAGTTGCCTTTAAAGATTATGGTAAAATCAGGGTTTAAGAGTTTAAAACAAATAACCTATTTGATGTGACCTTGTTTTTGTGTCATTGTGTAAATCTTTATGAAAGTCTGTAGCTCTTTGTACATGCAGCAAAGGGCCACAGACCCAAACCCATAGCACGGGACACCTGGTAGAGCTGGTGCCAACTTTTACTATAACTTCTGTTCACATTTTACTAAGTATGAAAGTGTTTGTATAAATGCATTTAAAGACTTAGATTTTGCTGTTTACCATTCTGGTGAGTGAGGGAAACCCACTGGATGACATCATCTACAAAACACAATAATAACATGACCTCTACTAGACCACCTGTTGAGCACTACACCAGGACCCATTAGCACTTATGCTCTCTTTGTTTTCTCTCTTCAGTCATGAAAGGATAGATGTTTACAATTAGAAATATGTTAAGAGGAGGTCAAAGGACAGAGTCAAGAAGGTGCAGGTCATACTCATGGGCACTTCAGCAGACCCAAAGCTAAATTATACGATTAACACTCTCAATAAAACTGGATATGTGGAGCATCAAATTTCTTTTTGTTAATGTTCAGTATTTCCTGTTCAGCCTGATATTGCAAAAAACTTGTACTTATTTGTTCTTAAAAATTAATCCAATATCTATGCAAAGAGGACCAATTGGGATCACCCACACTGTTTGTTTTATGTTAAATTAAGAGAAACTTTGGTGCCTCTGTGGCTCGCCTGGTGGAGCTGGAGGCCCATGTACCGGGTCTGGTCTGTGACCCTGTGTTGTGTGTCATCCTCTCTCTCTCTCTACCCCTTTACTGTCTATCTCTTGATAGATAGATGGGAATAAGTTACAGGAAAAATATAAAATAAAAAAGGAGGAACCATGTATATGTATGTAATCATATTAAAAGATACATAGTTTATGACAACCTTAACTAGAATAGTTGAAGTCGGTTTCCATATTAATATGGAAACAGTTGTAATCATTCCTCTTGTTCATATTGACCATTAAAAAATGTAATTGATGTGGAACAGAATCCACAATCCTGTTCCTGTGTTAAGATGTAGTCTAAAACTAATGGAGACTGACTTAATCAAGCACTTAATCGTCCTTGCTGAGCTGCAGTTTAGTGACCACCAGGTGGCGACATAACACAACATATTTCAATAACCTGAAAGTTAGTAACGTGGAGTGGTCAGTAGATGGCACATTAGAACAGAAGACCAGGTTACTGCTGCCTTTTAGAGCTCACACACATCTTCTGCTATAAATAATGCTAATAAAAATTATGTTTTACTTTAATATTCTTATAGGACAATATTAGATGATCAGTATAATGTAACTCATCCCCTTTATCATGCTGTTACTAATAAGGACTAATCTCCAATCATAAGATCATCCTTAATTAAAAGCAATCTTGGATCTGGGACAAGGTTTTAGATAATCTGTTTTCTCAGAAGCAGTATTTGACAATGTCTGCTAAATCCTGATCCAATCAACTGCATGGTTGCTGCACCTGGCTCATATTTTGTCTCACTGACTTTCCTATTGACAACTGCATAATATACAATGATTAACTTCCTCTGTGCTGACACTGAATTGTAGTTTATTTTATTTTATTTGATTAATGATAGTACAGACATTTATAATATATATATAATATGTATAATTATATATTTTATGTAATTATACACTTTGTTTTCATACATATATATATATTATACAGATACTTTTATTTTTAACAGGTTGTGGTTTTTCAAACAACAAAAACATAAAGGTCCCGAAAATATTAGATTTCTGTTCTGTTTGAGGAAAGACTCTCAGATTCACTTTCATATGAGTAATCAAGACTTAAAGTTAAAAAAAAATAGCACCATATTCATCTGTTTAATACAGAGGGAAACTATTTTGTCCAAAAAAATTTGAAAAGGACATTTTATATTCTATTGCACTTATATCTTTAAGCAGTCTGGATACAGAGAATAATCCTGCCAGTTACAGCAGTAGACACTTTGATAGGTTGGCTCCCTGATTGTTTTGCACATCGTTCTGTGGGAGAGACAAACAGGCGGGGAGAGGAGGCACAATGGGATGACAAGCCCGACTGTCACACCTGAGCCCAGTTGTTTGTGTGTGTCTGCACACACACACACACACACACACACACACACACACACACACACACACACACACACACACAGAGTTCTCTCCCGCGCCTGTTGCTGTCTTGCACTCCCTTGCATCTCTCTCTTTCTCTTACTTTCTATTTTTTTGTTTCTTTCTTTTGATGCTATTGTGGTTATTGTTGCACTATTAAATAAAATGCATACACATGCAGTACATAACAGCTACACCCTTCTAACACAACTACTAAAACTCAGAGACATATGCTACAAAAGAGATTACACATATAGGATTAGGAAGCATGTTAATCTTAATCTTGTTTCATGTCAGTGATCATCTTTGTTGATTTTATCTGTAGCAGCTTTTCCTGTCCTGTAGCTGGTTTGTGTGGTGCACAGTTTCTGCCTGAACACAATCACATTATACATTTTATGTATAAAACACTGATCACAGCATTGCTAACCTTTTTATTTTTTAGATTTGCTCTCTCCCTCTCTCCACCAACCTTCTGGAGGAGAAAGTCCACCTCTATTCAGATGGAAATCACTCACCTTGGAGTCCCTGCTCCCTTTTTTGAGAGTATAATGAAGTGTCCCTACTCAGGTTCACACATTTACAACTCAGTTTGCATGACTGCATAATTTAGCAGCTGTTGTTTTCCCAGACTTGGTTAGTTACCTTCTTCAAACTGCGCATCAGCTTTGGTTTTCAAATTCATCGCCACTCTTTATCTCTATATTACCTCAAGAAAAGCATCAGTTCAAAATGAAATAAAAAAATGTGACCATAAGCAGAACAAAAGTGCTTGCCTTTTTTAGTAACATAAAAAGTCAGTTTATCAATCCATATTATGGGTCTAACAAAAGTTAACTGAATTTCACTTTCTTTGATTGGTAACCTGTAGATTTTTGGATCTCTATGCCCATCTATGATTTAAAGTGCAACACAGTAAATGGTCACCATTCTACAAATGCAAACAAACAGCAGTGACCACTTTGTGAAAGGAAGCAATTTCTTTCCAAACTGGTTCTTAAAACACTACCACCAAGAGAGAGGTGTTCTTCTTTTTTCTTTTTAGTGTAGTTAGTGTATAACAAAATATCATTGACCATTGTTTATTGATATTTTGAAATGCCACATGTAATAAATAAATAATACAACTTATTTGGTACCAACTAGGACTGCTCATGCTACAATACAAATGCACTCATGCAACTTAAAATCTCATTGGATACTGTAAATGCTGCTGTAAATGAAAAATAAACTTTTTTTGGAAAGGACTCAATGCAACTAAACAGGAAATTAAATATAAGAGACATTTTCAGTAACAACAGAACACAAGAGAAAACAATACAGGTGTGTTTTTGAGCACAGGCTTTGTAAAGCAAACAGTAACACACTGGGATGCAAATGTAAATAGCTGGGAATAGGAACGATCAGCATGCTAGTGCCAAATACTGTGATTGCATGTTGAAAAAATGAGCAGAGATAATGTGAGCTGATAGTAAATGTGTGCGTGTGTGTGGCTGAGATGAAAGTCTGCTGCAATTGATAATTTTTCAGAGATAATGTGATGTTCATGAGGCGACAACGCAACAACACTACTGAATAGGAACCTTAAAGGCACAGTGCGTCTTCTGTGTCTGAAAACTGCTGCTTGCATCAGTTGTCAAAGAGACTGTTGTTGCTAAGGAAGGCTTGCCCGCCATAGTGGGAGAAAATGAATAGACTGAGGCAGAGTTGTAGATCTACAGAGTTGTGCAAACACAACAACCATACAAAATATGTAAGACTCAGAATACATTTACAGTCTATTTATAACACCAGGCTTATGCAAACACCATAAAAGCAATCTGTGATCCTGGAGTTCGGAGTCAACGCTGAATCAGGTCAGTGTGGATCTGTAAAACACTGGCAACGGATGACTCAGGACTGAGGCGTTGTGAGGGAGAGAGCTTCCTTGGCAACCATTGCTGGACTGATTGTCATCATGTGACGAGCTGATGCAGCCAAGCACTGAAAAAAAAACAGAGTAACACACAGGAGGTGGTGTGTGTGTGTGTGTGTATGTGTGTGTGTGTGTGTGTGTGTGTGTGTGTGTGAAAGAGAGAAAAAGCACCGCTGATGAGTCAGAGATGGCTGATTCTGACGTAATCCAACAACCCCTCCCTCCTTCCAGTTCTCCCGTCTACATGGATGTTCCTGGATATTCAGGTTGGAGTCTGCTTCCTGACAAAAGGTTTGCAAATCAGTGAATGATCAGCAATGTTTGACTCGCCCACAAATTTCCCTTTTTGGGAACAATTACAATTCTTAGTCAGGCTTTTATTGATTCATATATGGTGAGAAGAATAGAAATACAAATAATAGAAAACAGGAATAATATCTCAATGTCCTCTACAAAAAATATAGGCTACACAACAACACCTAACAGCCTACACTCAATCCCATTCAGTTAAAACTCAGTTTATTGTTATACAACTTTATACATATTGTTTATGTTGTTGGTGTGTTTACTCCATCCCAGGAATCCATAACAACACAAACCTCCATCCACACATACATTATTACCTGCAGACAGTGGGCAGTATGACAGAAACCAAACCTGGAATACCAATAAAAACATCTGGTCAGTAATGTATAGTCTGACATGGCAAATGCATAATTAAATAAGTGATATAATCAAATTCATATACAATATTCAAAGCAAAAAAGAGAGCAATTCAATTTTCAATCGATGTGCTAAAGATTGCAAAACACTAAAAGTTAAGTTTCTTAAGGATACATTTTGAGATAACAACAGTTTGTAGTAAATTAGTCATACAGCATTCACCTTTTAACAACTGTTCTCCAACTCAAGGTGGTGTTTTGTGTGTAGTTTATTAGTTGAAGTTTTTTTTTAAAGAAATGCAGAGATCAGTCTTATTATTTTAAATAAGGCTAAATAATGCTCTTGATAGATGGATGGATAGATAAATCACTTCTAATTGAACAAATAATACAATATTCTCTACTGAAAGGCCTCTCTAATTCAAAAACATAAAGCACAAAACATGAGGCCTCTGTGTGTTAATCTCCTTCTTCCTGCTTTAATCTGGAAACCAACACTTGTCCGCCTGCAGCTGAATCCCACCTCCTTTCCAGGGAACACTCAATGCACAATCTCCGCATTTAACATGCGAACAAAAACACGAAACTGCTCTTAGATCAGCCTCTCGCATTCCCAGTGCATCGCAGGCAATGCGTCTTCACGGCAGGAGCGCATGCGCAGTGCTTCGTGTTGCGCCATACACCGAGATCGACAGCAATCGTCATCTGGACAAAAAGAAAAAGACATTCCTGGTTCTTTTGAGAGAAACTGGGAAGCCTCAGATGAGCTGTGAAGGATTAATACGAACATAAACGGATTACAATAGAGGAAGTTTGGGAAATAACGCGATCAATAGCACTAATAATCGGTTTCGTCACGTGGTTAAAGCAGGACCAATCGGAGCGAGCCAAGTCCGGTCCAAAGTATGTCTTTGTTCGGATATTCTGCCAACTTTATCTGCACATCCGAGCCTAAACTGTGTATAAATCCCAGGATGTGAATGCGGAGGGTGTGTGTTTTTATTGTTATTGTAGGAAAGGAAACCTCGTGGAGACGTTTCATCTGCGGATTTCTGAGGAATGCCACGTGTTCAAGTTTGGATAAACAGTGCGCTCGGACTCCATCACATGACTCCCCTCCCCCATCCTCCCCCACCCTCCCCCACCCGGCGCAGGGAGTGGGGCAACAAGGCGGACATGTCTGAGGGAAATGTGTTGGTTAAAAAGTATCGAGGTGGAAGACAAGAAGATTATTTGAAGAAAGGTTCCGCATTATTTTGGGATTTACCAGTCGACATTTGTGTTTGTTTTAAATTCAAGGTTTTTTTTTTTTTATTTCATACTTTGAAAATATTTATTTCTTTGTTGTTGTTTTTTTTTTTTTCTTCTTTTGATCATTTAACTTTAACAATTTTAACAATCTACTTTGTTTTACAGCGTAAAGTTAAAGAACAACTTTAGTACTGTTTCATGTTGTGATGATATAATGTTACTTTCGGTCGTTTATTTGAGTGACATTGTGGAGAATATGTAACCTTGGTGTGGGGGATGGGCGCATGTGGTTAGGTAACCATTTTGTGTGATTGTTGAATTTGTTTAGGGTCGGTCGTTTTTTAAATATATCAAATAGTGATTTTCTCATTTGGTAATCTTTTCTAATTGTAGGATTTTTTTTTACAATGGGTTTATTTTATTCTCTCTGTAGATACTTAAAGGTCAGGCTCTGTTTTCTGTATTTTCAGACCCATATAAGAGTTTCTTGGTGATTTCATTGAGCTTTAATGTTAATTAGGGTCATTGTTTAATTGTTAGTGTGATTGTTTGGTTGAGTTTGGCTGAAAACAGACTTTACTTTAATCAAATGGAGTTTGAGGTCAGTGAGGAAAACTGCTGTGTCATTCAGTGGCTGGGCGGTAGTTAATACTCTAACAGGCTTTTTTTAATTGTTCCTTTTTAAGTAAATAGGAGGAACGTCCTTCACCGTATTACATTCAGTTATAATTGTAAACTTGGATTTAATCCTATTATTACTTTGTTGTTTCTGAGCCATTGAGGCCTTGTTGGGTTTGTTGACCTCAACCTGCCGCAGATTGAACGCTGCTCACTTCAGTTTGTGTTCACAGGCGAAATATGAAGCGTGTTTTTTATTTGTTGTCGACGTTTAACCTTTTTCTCATCGTGAATATTTGTTATAATCCTCTGTGTCACTGTACTTAAAGATGGCGGCGGTGCGCCTCTTCTAGAAGACAGAAATGCGGATATCCAGAAAGCAGCGAGCTCGTGGGAGAGGCTCTTTGCTCTTGAGGGGTGCGCGTGACCCGGCGGGAGAACCAATAGGCTTCTTGGTATTTACCCTGGAAGCCCGCGTTACGACCGTATTGACCAATCAGAGCCGTCGCTTTGCACACGTTGACGTAATGTAATATGATGAGGAGGAAGGTGGCCTCGGTGGCCTCGCGTTCTGTACAGGATTACATTGAGGAACCAGTTACAGGCCGCGCTTCGGGAACACTGTGTCGCCTCGGCCAATAGGATTGAGCCGTTGTCTTGATTGACAGCAGAAACTTGCGAATAGGTTGGCCCGAAAGATTGGCAGGGAGACATCAGTATGAAGGGGTGTGGTGACTTTGACGGACATCGTCAGCAGCCAATAGGAACTCCGAGGGCGTGGACGCTCTGAGGGCGTTTATCCAATAGGGTGAGAGGTTGGTCTATATAAGAACGGGTGTAGTCGCATCGTCGCCATTTCAACGAAGCAGATTAAAGGAGTTGACCGTGGCGGGGAGCGGAGACAACTGACGAGCAGAGACGGATCCAGGTCTGAGTCTAGCTAAAAAACAGAATCCGGATCCATCCTGATGGATATGGCTCTTAACCCGCTCCTTGACAGGTATCTACCGGTAAAATTGACTCTCAGCTTTCCATCAGAGGGAAAATTGTAAACATTTGTCATGAATTTTTTTCCTTCAAAATACCGTTGCTGGCAGCCTGTGTTTGCTGTAATGCGAGTGGAAGAGAGAAACGGACACTGAATGAAGGAAGAAGTTGCTTTCGCGTCGTTAAATGGGATTAGAAGCGAAATTCACGTTTAAGGAAATAAAATGGGTTTGTGGTTTGTAACAAGCTGCGACTGTTGTTCGCACTACGCCGGCGCCATCTTCGGAGCCGTTGGCCGCTCTCTCTCTCTCTCCTGCTGCCTGGCAGTTGGTGCTAGCATGACTAGCATTAGCTTCTCAGCCCGAAGCTTGTTTCTGTAGCAACAGCAGCCCGACCAGCGTCCATTTAAATTAATGTAAGAGTTCTGACCTCAGCGGTCCAATAACGGGTTCATTAACACCTCCAGCGGGTTGTAACGCTATTATGTGTACTGGTTACTGATGCGACGGAGTAGTTTTGGCGGGTTTTATTAGCTAAATTAGTGTTTTTATAAGTTGGCGTAAGGTTAAAGTCCAGACGAGCGCGGTCCGGACCGGCATTATTGTCGGTGTCGTCCGGTTGTTATTGTAGCCATGTGACGGTCAGGGGTTGTTGTGATCACCGGTGTTGTAGCGCGCAGGGCTAACGCTATCCATGTGTTGGGTGTTTCATTTGGTTGCCTGGTTACAGTGTCACTCAGATAGGGAACAACTTATAAACTAATAAAAGTGGTAAATTATTTGTTTACTTATAACTCCACTGTACTCAGTTTCTTGTTTTTTGTTTTTCCCCCTCCGGCACGCATACCGCATTTTACTCATATATTTATTTGTCTATCCAATTTACACCTAACATTAAACGATGTTTTTTTGTTTAGTGTTGTTAATGTTTTTGTACATGATTACTTTCATTTTTTAATAATAAAGTACACTAACTGTCAAATGTGTTTCCAAAAGTTGTATCATTCAAAACGAGAATTGCTTTATCATAAACTATTAATAGATAATAGCATACATTAATTTATCGCCGCACTGCTGCAGTGAGGCTTTACCATTATATTGTAGCTTAAATATTTTTATTGAATTGTGTAGAAATAATGTTGTAGGATACAAAATGTTATGCACCTGCCCCAATGGGTCACCCCATTTACTGCATAATGCAGGCACAGTAATACTTAACACTAGTTGCCTCAAGGCCACTTGGAAATAAAAACATAAAATGGTGTGTGCAACAGTGTTAATGTAAACTAATGACAACAGACGATAAGTAGATGGCCTTAAATGCCCATATTTGATCTTAAGTAAGTTTTGTTTTGCAGTGTTAATAGTCCAGAGGAGATGTGCTACGGTGAGTTCATTCGGTTGATGACAGCGAGAGAGGATGGTCCTTTTACATTAAACATGACAGGACTGTTTTTTAATGGAGGAAATGCATTAATTTGTGAAATAGGTGTATATTTTTTGCACATCCGAGCACATACCCTCCACTGTCAGCAAGTAACTGGTTATTATTGGAGAATTTGAGTGCCGTGTGAGGCACAAGCATAATGTAGCACTGCAGCAATTCTAGTATGTGCAGTAAGTAACTCCAGTTGTTCAGTCGGGTGGGGCATTTCAATAGTGTTCATTTGTATCCTCTTAAAGTGGTACTGATGTGTGAATTTGAGCCCATAGTTTTTTAGCATTGCTTCCCTCTTAGTCTTAATAATGTGCAAATACATACAAGGAAGTGTATTCCACAGGATTTGTGTGGTTTCTCTCGCTGTATTGTGTTGCACTTGATTGTCGGTGGCTGTCTCCTTTGGCTGAATGCTGTTGTGTCGGAAGGGGTGGGGGTGTTGTTTCATAGTTGATGTGGTTATGACATCTGGATAATATTAGATACAGTCTTCCTAGGTATTAAGTGATTTTCTACATATTCTTAGTCCATATTTGTTTTTATTGATGGGGTTAGTCAGAAGTTAGCAGGAAGTCCTGCTGTTGATTTAAGCTGCAAATTCCAGGTTACAGCAGTTTTAAAGGCCAACTGAGCCCCTGACTCATTCAGCATTAACTCCCTGTGGAAACTACCCATTAATTCTACAAGTTGCAGTGGCCAACAGAGGCCCAGTTCTACTGATGGTGTGACGAGTGTGCAGCACTGCAGGATGTTTGTCAATCATTAGCGTGCTACAGCGCTGGGTAGTAAACCAGCTTCAGACAATACTGCACATTTCAGGGAATGTTATGGACATTACTGTTGGAAAACTCTAGCATAGACCTCTTGTTGCTGTAGCACGTCCACTGAAACTCCACCCACAATCCTTTGGGAAAGCCTTTTTTTCCCTACAGGGAAATGTGGGTGGCGTCTCTGATGGCATAGTCACCAAGAGGAAGTGGTAGTCATGCCTGTTCTCCTGGGACTGGGAGTGCTGATTTAGCAGGAGGATATTCCAAGTCAGACTGAGTAATGTTTATATGACTGACTATGCACGCCTTGTGAAGGGATTTACTCCACGCTATGTGCTTGTTAGTGTGCAGTAGGGTAAACAGGATTAATAGTTTGATAGGATAACGTACAATGTATACCAACAGGAGATCATTATTATTGTTAGGATGAAACGATGAGAGAGGAACATAACTTAATAACTTAAGTTCATCTTGATATTTCTGTTTATATGGTTAAGAGTTATATAGTCATAGATGCATAATCCAAAATAGAGGCGAAGAGTAAAGTCTTATGTCCCATTTTGAGTTGCGGCACATGCAGGCAGTGTACCTGGCTTCATTAATTAGACAGTTCATATTAAACAAACAGACACAGAATATTAGTTGGCCATTTTAAAGTCAACAATTGTGAGATGTTGAGGTTAAGAGCAAATCTTCATCAACATGGGAGACAAGTAAAATCTAGTTTACTACCACCTCTTGTCTTGGCATCATAACAACTCATGCCAAATAGTTAATTGGTCTTTCACCTACTTTCTACAGCTCCCATGTCGGGGTTGAGGTTGGCATAATGGGAGTCACATCGATGGACCAGGGTTCTGGCACAGCTGGAAAACGCATCCGAAAACCTTCACTGCTCTATGAGGGCTTTGAGAGTCCTGGGATGCCCCCTCTCAATCTGATGGCCCATTCGGGACCCCCACAGCCTCCGGTGAAAGACCCCAACCGACAGGGGAGGATGACCAACCAGCTTCAGTTCCTACAAAAAGTCCTGCTCAAATCTTTGTGGAGGCACCACTTTGCCTGGCCCTTCCATGAACCTGTAGATGCAGCAAAGCTCAACCTGCCTGTGAGTGTGAAATTGGAAATGTGTCTATAGGAGGGACCATTCTTATTTCTACAACCTCACTCCTATCCAACAGTTTAAACAATGTGTCCCAGTACGCAGGCTTACAGGAAGAGACAACAGGTTTTTTATTTAACTAAGCTTTCACCAGCTCCTTAAAAAGTTCTCTAATACCTTTCACTCCCAGCCAGGATCAACATTTTAACAAGATTAATTTTAGAAAATGAAAAATATTGAAAATAAATATATTAGAACTTTATGTATGCATACTTGCAAATATCCATTATTGTGGAAATAGAAGCACATACATGGATAAGAGTGAAAACACAATTTAAAAGTAATTAACAAATAAATTGGTGTTCATTACATAATAAAAACATAAGACATTATATTACCATATTTACAATTACATTTTCTCTCTGGTCTGCATCCATCTACAACAGGTAGAGACAGGTGTTACGATTAACCTAATTAAATCTGATAATATTGTTTTTTATATACATGTTAAAAGTAGTTCTTCAAACCGATTTGTGGCCAATTATCCAAGTCATCAGCTTGTCTTAAGAGGTATTTTCCTATTATGCCTTTTAATGGTATGGCTAAAAGTATTTTGAGATGTAGTATAGTAAATGTACTGTTTCTTGTCCTGAGAGTGTCTCTCTCTCCCCCCAGGACTATCATAAGATCATCAAAACTCCCATGGACATGGGCACTATTAAGAAGAGACTTGAAAATAACTACTACCGCAGTGCCAGTGAATGCATGCAGGACTTCAACACCATGTTCACCAACTGCTACATTTATAACAAGGTAAGATTTGTTTGACAGAGTACGAGCCTGAGACATTTCTGGCAAGACTGCTGGTACCCTGGACATTTTTGTGTGTAAAATCTAGTTTTAATGTAGTTTCACTTTGTGGAGAAAACAATTGTATTGTGTGTAAAATAGTGTGTTTTTTACTTTAACTATAAAAGTTAATCTTTCTACTGTTGTACATATTGTACATATGTGTCTGTAATAAAGTTGAATTGAATTGTGTTCCACATTATCTCCTGTAGCCTACAGATGACATAGTACTGATGGCTCAGTCTCTGGAGAAGGCATTCCTGCAGAAAGTAGCTCAGATGCCCCAGGAGGAGCTAGAGCTTGCTCCTCCCCCTCCACGGAGCAAACCAGGCAAACCTGGAAGAAAAGGCAGAGGTAACGCAAGCACTAGCTGCAAGCAAAAACCAGACATGCAAAAGTCTGCAGTCAAATAATTAACTGAATACTTGTTTTGTGAATCTGCCTCACTCCTGTTTTCCTCTATCTTGCAGTCACTGGAGGAGTGACAACAGCTCATCAGGTCCCAGCTGTCTCTCAGTCAGTGTACTCACCTCCCACCCCGGAAACACCCGACTCCATCCTCTCTACCCCTCCACAGACACTTTTGACCAAGAGCATGCCCCCTTCCCTTCATACTGAACAAAGCATCCCTACCATTACGGGTCTGCCTCCCACACAGCCCACTGCCAAGGTAATGGTTAACATGTGACATTTTGTGCTTGTGTGACGAGAATTTTGACAGTATTTTGCATAAAATGAATGAAGACCACAGACGGAACAAAACACTGACTCACCCTCTCTTCCTCGCCTTTTTTTCAACCCCAGAAAAAAGGCGTGAAGAGGAAAGCAGACACGACCACCCCAACCACTGTAGCCATGCCCATCATGAGCACCATGGGTGTCAGTGGCATCAGCCTGGGGCTTGGTGGTGGGCATGATTCCCCGCTCACTCTAACTTCTCTGGGGGTGGACCACAGCTCCAGTCTGGGGATGAACCAAGGCCTCAGCCAGGGCATGGGGATGGGCATGGGCATGTCTTTAGGTATGGGCTGTGGACCAGTGATGATGAGTTCCAAAGCAGCTGGGGGCAGGAGAGGAGTGAGTGGACGACCCATCAAGCCCCCCAAGAAGGATCTACCAGACTCCATGCTGCCACCGCCGGTGCGCCGCAGTAAGCTTAGCCCCCAGCTGCGCTACTGCAATGGGGTCCTGAAGGAGCTGCTGTCGAAGAAGCATGCAGCGTACGCCTGGCCGTTCTACAAGCCCGTCGATGCCTCAACACTTGGTCTTCACGACTACCATGACATCATTAAGCAGCCCATGGACCTCAGCACCATCAAGGTACTTACAGACAGAACTGTAAACATTTGTCAGAACAGGGTGTTGTTTTCTTCTTCTTTTTTCAACACTAGTACGTCTGTGATATCAGAGAATAGAGAAGATACCTTTTTTATTTTTTAAAAAAAGTATTTGGCTAAAATCTGTTGTCTCTTATCGTGTTTAGAGGAAGATGGACGGCAGAGAGTATCGGGACTCGCAGCAGTTCTCTGCTGATGTTAGACTGATGTTCTCCAACTGCTACAAGTACAACCCTCCTGATCATGATGTGGTGGCAATGGCCAGAAAACTCCAGGTGATTTACTTATTCCACTGATTCAATCTGTAATAAAAGCATAATTCAATTCTGCGCCTCAAATCATCAGTGATATTTGTTTTTAATCAAATTCACTCACATACTGTTTTTATTTATTTATTTTAGGATGTGTTTGAGTTCTGCTTTGCTAAGATGCCAGACGAGCCCCCAGCACCCCCTAGCTCCTCCTCTTCCTCCTCCTCATCATCGTCGTCATCTGAGAGCGAGCTCAGCAGTGAAAGTGAGGAGAGCGAGAGCAGCCCCAGCTCTGACTCTGAGGAGGAGAGGGCAAACCGACTGGCAGAGCTGCAGGAACAGGTTTGTACTAACTTCACGAAGATGTGTTTTTGTAGCATTGCTGTGATGTTTCCTAATTTTTCTGTATCATTTCCTCAGTATTTCACCGACTCACCTGCTTTTCTTTCTCCCTTCAGCTAAAAGCCGTACACGAGCAGCTCACTGCACTCTCCCAGGGCCCCATTGTCAAACCTAAGAAAAAGAAAGAGAAGAAGGACAAGAAAAAGAAGAAAAAAGTAGAAAAAGAGAAGCATCGGAGGGTAGAGGAAGAGCTGCCGCCTATTAAACCGGCCAAGGCCCCCAAGATCACCAAGACTCCAAAACCCAAGCCCAACCGAGCTGCAGCGTGTCCTGTAGTGCCGGTAAAGAAGGCACCAAGCAAGAAAAACAACAAGAGCAAGTGAGTACTGACACCTATTGGATAATGTTGGAATTGAAAGTATGTGGGCCACTTAGAAAATGTGGAAAGGGCGTCGCTGTAGCAGGAAGTCAGATTCACTTGTTGTAAGAGTTGTATTAAAATAACTGAATTAGGGAAGTAAAAATTACCATCCGGCTTTGTTGCTGTTTCTAATGACCACAGTCTTATGTTTGGTCTCATTGCTTTGTGGGTTAGAATAGAAAACTCTCTCTGTCATCGTTTAACACCTCCATCTCTCTCGTCTTCTACCAGATCCAAAAAGGCCGCCATGACGTTTAGCATGCCTCAGCCGGTCCACGACCCCATAGTGAGTCATTATGACTCCGATGAAGAGGAGGAGACGGCACCCATGTCGTATGATGAGAAGCGTCAGCTCAGCCTGGACATCAACAAGCTGCCCGGTGAGAAGCTGGGCCGCGTCGTTTACATCATCCAGTCCCGTGAGCCCTCGCTCCGAGACACCAACCCGGAGGAGATCGAGATAGACTTTGAGACACTGAAGCCTTCAACACTGCGGGAGCTCGAGAGATACGTCATGACGTGTCTGAGGAAGAAACCTCGAAAGCCATACGGTTAGTAGGATAGAAGGACGGGATCATAAAATCATTGAAAGACTTTGTTTATTTTTTTGATCAGAAAATCTTAGAGGTTTAATGTAAAAACTGAAAGGGAATCAATATAAAATCCAGAATTTATTAATGCTTGAGGAGAAAAAATGGAACATAAGGACAAAAAAAATCTAAATGTTGTAGTGAAGTCTTTGATAATATAGTACAGTACATCTTACTGACTTTGTTACTGGTCTGTTTGTGTGCAGCAAGTAAAAACAACATTGCTGGCAAGTCCCGAGAAGAGCTCGCTCTGGAGAAACAAATGGAGCTGGAGAGGAGGCTGATGGACGTCAGTGGTCAGCTCAACTCTGGAAAGAAACCTCCTAAGACCAAACGTAAGTCCTCCATACTGCTATCTTAAAGAGCAGAGAGTAAAATGTATTAAATATAAAAGGGTTTCCTTCCTTTTTATTACAAGCTCTTGTTTTCACCTACAGATGTTAATGCTCCACCAACAAAAAAGTGAAAGATAAAATATTTTTTATAAGATTGTTTAATCTTGTGTTTTAACTAAATCAAAGTAAGAGCTGAATATTCACATGTTCTTGATTGTGTGCGTTTGTTTTCTGCAGCAGAGAAACCTGCAACAGAGCAGAACACCCAGCCGTCACGTCTCAGTGCCAGTAGCTCCTCCTCAGACTCCTCTTCTTCATCCTCTTCTTCCTCATCCTCGGACACAAGCGACTCAGACTCTGGCTGAGGGGCGGTGGGTTTCCATATGAAAGGGTCTTGTTCGGGACCCTGGGCGTTTTGCTTCCCACCAAGTGGACTGAACTGCAGTAGAGCTACTGACGATGGAGCCGCAGGACGGATCAGACGAGACCAGCACTCGGCAGAACTGGTCTGACTCAACAAGTGTCAAACCAAGAAAGAAAGAGAGAGATGGGGCTTTCCCTGCGCTCAGCTCATTCATCCAGTCCCTTCCTGGACACAGAAAAGTCGAGGATGGAAGGAAAGAAAGAGACTCATTGTAAAGTCCTGCCGTTCTCTGGAGAACTGGCGTTGCTGGGCAGAGCGAGGGATGCTCCATCTCCTGCAAAAAAAAGGAGAACGAAGCATGCGTTGGAGGGATAAGGGTGCTAGAGCCAGAATCTGTCTTATTTCTGGAGATAATTTCCCTTCTTTCCGTGCTCTCTGTCTTTACGCTGTATAGATAAGGTGTACAGTTATATAAATATCTATTTTTCTTTTATAAAGAAGCATTTTATGGAGCTAATTTATTCCCTCATTCTGGGAAAGATGAACTGGTGTGGGCGGAGTTGTGTTTTAGTTTTTGTTTAGATTTTTTCTTGAGTGGCAGAAGGTAGAGGGGAAACACGAGAGAGTGTGTGTGTGTGTGTGTCTGTGTGTCTGTGTGTGTGTGTGTCTGTGTGTGTGTGTGTGTGTCTGTGTGTGTGTGTGTGTGTGTGTGTGTGTGTGTGTGTCTGTGTGTGTGTGTCTGTATGAATGTGTCACATATGTGTTTGCATGCACATGTGTGAGTGTGAGATCCGGCACCACAAGTTCCTCACAGTTTTGACGCAGGCGTTGAAAATCAGTCTGCACGCAGAAGCACCTTGGTTCAGTAGAATACAGAATGCATGCAATACAGAGGAGCTGACAAACATCTGCATACTCATGTACTACTTTACTGCATCCTTGTGTACTCATGTACTTGTTTGAAAGGGTTGGCCACTGTACAGAAATGTGACCTAGTTACGCATCAGTTTATACGTAAATATTTCTGTTCCCATGTGTGCTGTCTTTTTTTTTTTCTCTCTCATCCATTTCTCTGTAAACGTGTTGCTTTTTTTTTTCTTCTTGTGACCAATCTGCTAATAAATTGTGAGGACGTGTCTTGTCCACTCACCTGTGCCCAAATACCATCTTGGTTCTTTTGATTTCTTTTGGGGTTTAAGTCACAAAACATCTGACCAGAGTTGATTATTTGAAGTTAAAAGAAAAAGCTTTTTGCTGTTTCTTATTTGATATTTTATTCAAGCACTTTGGGTTGATGTCCCATCACTTCTTTACACCACGGTGTCACAAAAAAAGACAAAACTTGCTTGTTTTTAAAAACTATTTGGCCTTTGAGATCTACGGCAGCTGAACGTTTTATTTTCTGTGTTAGTTTTGTTTAAGTTTACTTATTTGTGTGATTTAAAAACATTAGTAATACACGTTAGGTTGTGGACGGTGAGATTTTCTCTTCTTTTGTCTCTTTGGCAGGTAAACAGGTTTTTGTTTTTGTGGTTTTGTGGCTGGTGATAACATGAAAGTGGCTTTTTGAGTTTTGGGATCCAGCAGCCAGTAGAAAAAAAAGATGGTTTAATGTTGTGAGTGATAACAATGCACTGTTTGTTTGGTGGTACTACTAAACAAGTTTGTGATTTAGGAAAGGCGTGTATCATTTTTGTTCTTTTAAAATGGCCTGTGGCTTGAGGTTGGAGTATTGTATGTTTGAAACTGATTATTTATTTAGAAGGAATTTGAATGGAGATTTTTTTTCATAATACTGAAAGTAATCAAACGCTTTTAAGTCAAAGTCTATGAAATATGCACAGATTTTAACTGTCAGGATTGTAGAAGTGTACATATTTTACAGTCTCAATCTTTGAGCATGTTTTTGTTTTTCCTTCAGTAACTTAGTCGAACTTTTTCTGTCCAGATTTGATCTGTTCTAAAACAAAATACTCCAGTTGTCAGTCTTACTTTTCTGAAGTTTGTCAGAAATCTAAATGCCTCTGTACTTGACTCCATCGTTTCCTCTGAACATCTGTACATAAATAAACTGAGACATGTTCATCTTTTCACTGACTGGGGGATATTTTATTTACAGATTATGTAATTCTGAGCTCATTCAAGTCGTTATCAGAAGAGAAACGGTGACATCTACTGTTGGAAGACGTATTCAAACGTACAGTTTATTGCTCCAAGGGACGGTTTTTAAGATTCAACCCAGTTCTCGGAGGAAAAGATCTTTGTTTCTTCCTCTTTGTCTTTTTCTTGACATTTTAAATTATAACCTCACTTGTGTTTTTTAAATTCAGAACTTCAGTAACTTTCTGGCCTTTTTCTATGATGTAAATTGTCTTAATCTGCAGTGAGAACTCCTAAAAGTATAAAATCCTAAAAATATATTAGATAAGTGTAAAAACTGACACTTATTTCCAGTCGATCTAATTAAATAAATCTTGATGCTCATTAGTTATAAATTATTTAACCTTTTTAAGTTCGACTGATGGAAGTTTAAACTCAGGTTGATTTAACTTCACTCATGTTTATCTGAATCCTTTCTGTGGAGAGTAAATCTCCCACTTTGCCCCCTCAGCGCTCTGTTGTTGGTAAGTTAAGTCACTACAATGAAAACACAGCTGATCCTTCCTGTAATTCCTGCGCAGCCTGTCCTAACCTCCCCCCGTTGGTTCCTGGACAGCTGTCACATACCTGCGTGACAGGTGGGAGATCACAGAGATGGGTTGGATGAGTATTAGAGTAAAGAAACTGCATCAGAAAACAGGATCGGTCTGAGACGAGGAACATGACAAAGACATTAAGCTTTTTTTTTCTTAAACCTGAAGGTATGATATTGTGTAATATTACTGCTCCATTTGTGGATAAATGGGAGTTTGTCTTTGTGTTTTTAAATTATAGCCAACAAATGACAATGATGACAAATAATGTTTCATGTCTATCATCAAAAACATGAAGAAAAAAAACATATAACTAGTAAATTTAATGATTTAATATGCAAAATAATGCATGTATGAATTATATTTTAGATATTATTATATATTGTTTTAGCTTATTATTGTCTTTGACACTGCAAGTGGTTAAAGTGTTGTTTTTTAAAAACTAATTAGTGAGTTAATTTCCTCCACAGCAGAAAGTTTCTCCCTTCTTAGACTATCAGTACTGTAAGTTAGAAACTATAAAACCCGTTCACAGAGAAGAGTAAACGCGATAATGTTTAAAGATTAATCTGCCACGTTAATAGTTTAGGCGAAGATATAACATTTATAATATAATAACAGTAATACTGCCCTCTTGTGGCCATACGATGTATTACAGCGCTCCGTTATTGTGAAGGCTTCCGGTAAGCACTTTCAAAATAAAACAAACGGCCACAAGGTATTCTGTATTGTACGTTCGTAATGTAAGAAGGAAAATAAAGTCACAACTTCATTGAGAGTTAGAAACTATTAAAACGTCCCACAGGCAGAGAAAACGTTATAATGTTTAATAATTAATCTGCCATGTTTTTACCATTAACAGTGTATAAATCACGGTTATACTGCCCTCCTGTGGTCATACTGTGTATTACAACAATCCGCTACTTCCGGTAAGCACTTTCAAAATAAAACAAACAGGCTCACGGTATTCCACACTTAGACTGGAATATGTTGCAGAATATTTTTAGAAACTATAAAAACTTTCCACAGGAAAGATAAAACGCTATAATATCTGTAAATTAACCAACTATGTTCATAATAGTTGAATAATAAAGAGTTAGTAATAGTTTTTGCGAAGATATAATATTTACAATATAATAAATATAATTAGACTGCCCTCCTGTGGTCATACGTGTATTACAACAATCCGCTACTTCCGGTAAGCACTTTCAAAATAAAACAAACAGGCTCACGGTATTCCACACTTAGACTGGAATATGTTGCAGAATATTTTTAGAAACTATAAAAACTTTCCACAGGAAAGATAAAACGCTATAATATCTGTAAATTAACCAACTATGTTCATAATAGTTGAATAATAAAGAGTTAGTAATAGTTTTGGCGAAGATATAATATTTACAATATAATAAATATAATTAGACTGCCCTCCTGTGGTCGTACAGTGTATTACACCGCTCCGCTATTGTAAAGGCAGAGACAATTACTTAGGCACAATTACACTTCCGGTAGGCACTTTCAAAATAAAACGGCACCCTCCACGATGTGATTTCTTTGAATTATTTTAATACATTTTAAAAGGCCTGAAGACTAAATTATTGGAGTATCTGTGTGTAAAGAGATGAGAGATGAAGCTCTCCCTGCGATCAGCTCCAGTCTTGTCCTGGACAATCTTAAATATTGATTGCTACTGTTTGGTAGCTTTCTTGCTAGCTGGACTATCAGTACTGTAACGTTCGTAAGAAGGAAAATAAGTTCACAACTTCATTGAGAGTTAGAAACTATAAAAACGTTCCACAGACAAGAGAAAACGTTATAATGTTTAATAAAGTTTTACCATTAAGAGTATAACGTTATACTGCCCTCCTGTGGACATACAGTGTATTACACCGCTCTTGTAAAGGCAGAAACAATTACTATCACACAAATGTACTTCCGGTAAGCACTTTCAAAATAAGACAAACAGGCTCAAGGTATTCCACGCTTTTAGACTGGAATATGTTGTAGAATTTTTTTAGAAACTATAAAAACAGGAAAGAGAAAACGCTATAATATTTGTTAATTAACCGACCGTGGTATTACGTTTCATAATTAGTTAGTAATAGTTTGGGCGAAGATATAATATTTACAATATAAATATAATTAGACTGCCCTCTTGTGGTCATACAGTGTATTACAGCGGCCCGTTGTTGTAAAGGCAGACACAATTACACCGTTTTACTTCCGTTTAGCACTTTCAAAACAAAATAAAATAGCTTTTACATATTTTGTACCGTTTTACTGGAATATTTTGCAGAATATTTCAAAACTCCTAAACTAAATAAATGTTTAAAGACTTGCAGACAAAATTGTTTGGGTGTATTATGTTATATATTTAAAGGTTTTATTTTGTGCTTCTGCATATGGTTTTGATCTGCCTCCATAGAAAAAGAGAGTTTTAAATTAAATGCGACCTGTTCCTGCTTAAATAAAAACATTGTCATTGTCACAGCGGTCATAGTTTTATCATGCAATTGTCACTGTACATCCAAATACATAATAGAGAAACACTTTGGAGACATTTTCTACTCCTTCAAGACATTTAAATTAACTTTTTTAGGCAACAATTTAATTCTGATTTACGGCTAAATGAACCCATAATTTAGAGCTAACAATATAGTCTTTATTAACCAAAATAGAGTTTTAAAGTTCGTCTTTATTTCCAGCTTCCACATTATTTTCTACTCTGCTCCTTCACTGGAGAACACCTCGTTCACGGTCCTCTGGCGCCACCTACCGGATCAACAGAGAACTACAACAACACCGGGAAACAGGACAACGACATGGCGGCCGCCGCAAGGCTCATATCAAGGTTGACTCTGGTCACTGGTACGTTTATATTTTACCGTGAAACATTATAATTCAGTGTGTAAAAACATTGTTAGATAAATACAGAATAGTCTCTTTACAGGATGTTGTTTTTAACGTTGTGTGTTTGTCGTCAATCTGTCGGTTTTCTCATTTAAACAGGTAAATAAGTACAATTCAGTTATAATATGTAAACTTTAGTTAGAGTAAAGTTTGGTTAGGTATGTTTTTCTGCTTTCTGCTCACAGCTATTGAAGTTACTGAGTTAGTTAAATCATAATCCTGAGCTGTGACATTCAAGAAAGTATTATTATTTGGATGAAGGTAAAACTGGATGTTACTTTGACTCTGATATAATTTTAATAAGAGCTGCAACACTGATTTATTAATATCGAGATGATCTGTCGATTTCTCTGGATTATTTTGTCTATAAAATGTCTGGAAATAGTGAAGAATGTGTACAATCAGTCTAAATCTTTAAACGTCTTATTTTATCCAACCAACAGTCCAAAACCCACAAAATATCCACAAAATATCCACATTAAAATATAAAACAGAGAGAGGCAGCAACCAGTAACTGTTTAATCACTTCAGCTTTAATATAAAGGTTAAAACATAATTTGTCCTCCTACATCTCCAGAACCAAACAGAAGCTCTTCAGAAGATAGAATAGACCCAACAGTATATAATACAGTACAAATACACAAAGGAGATCATCATACAGTAGATAAATGTTATTTATCATACAGTAGATAAATGTTATTCAGGAATCCACAAGAAGAATAAACACTGAATCAGAGAGATGTATTCGAGGGCCAATGGATGTTAATAGCACAGAATCAAATGGAAACAAACCCTGGCTCAGTTTCACCACCTGCCTTGTTTGTTATGTTGATTGACCTTCATCCTATCAGATATATCCAAACCAGAGTCTTCCCTCTGAAACCTTCAGCGCTCATTATTCATGAGACAAGCTACAGTGTGCTGCTGGGTGCCACTCTGACTTCATGCTGCTCTCTTCCCACCCAGGAGGAGGCAGTGGGATTGGCCGGGCGGTGTGTCAGCGCTTCGCCTCTGAGGGCGCCTCCGTGGTGGTCGCTGACATCAGCGAGGAGTCGGCCAACGAGACCCTGGGGAGCCTGCCGAGTGACCTCAGAGGACAGCGTCACATGGCGGCCGTGGTGGATGTGGCGTCAAAGGAGAGTGTAAAGAAGCTGGTCACAAGTATACAGGTGTGTGGTAGACAGAGAAAACACTACAGCACACATTGTTTTTGCTGCATGTTTGAAAGCTGCAGAGACTATCACACTTTCTTTTATCCTCTGTTTCTTCTCTCTCCCTCTGCAGACTCATTACTTTCAGCCTCCCTCAGTGTGCGTGAACTCGGCCGGCATCACACAGGACAACTTCCTGCTCAACATGGAGGAGGATCAGTTTGACAGAGTCATCCTGGTCAACCTGAAGGTACGCAGCCGTGTAGCACAAAGCGAGATAACTGGATTATCCAAATGTTCTGACCATGGTAACCTCGCTGCAGGACTAACCTGCTCCAGATCTGGTTCACTTCACAGAATCAGATCAAAAGCACTGACTCTACAATAAAGTGTAAGTAATGAAGAGCAATTTATATGTTTACAGGCCAGTAGAATCATTTTGGTGTTTCAGGCCATAGTTTATGATAAAATACAATATAATATAATAATGAAGATTAAATTCCTTCATTTCCAACACAGTTCCTGACAGAGAAAAACACAAATATATGTCACATAAACAAATAAACTCAGAATAACATGAGGCAACTTTGTGATAAGAATTGGAAATAAAAAGTATACTCTCTGTTGTCTTTAACTCGAACAAATAATCCACACACATTAATTATCTTCCATGATCATTAAAGCAACAGTTCAATCAAATAAACCTCATCAGACATTAACTGCTTTTCTTCTTCTCTCTGTTAACTTTTTCTATCTGCATCACATATTCATAAAAGTTCATAAAATCATATAATCTCACTTGCTCTATACTAAAGGTAATAACATAGCTGGAGCCTTATTTTTAATATTTGGAAGTTATTTCTAGTGTTTCTACAGCTTCTTCTTCTATTCAAGTGGCGTTATCAACAAAACACAGCGAGAGAGTCGAGTCTGTTTTTTCCAGATTTTTGGTAAATAATAATATTTTTGGATTATGAAAGCTGTTTGGTTAATTCTGTAAAGATGTCAGAGACTATATAGAAATATTTCAAATGTGCCACGGTGCAGAAAAGTAGATTTTTTTTTTTATTTCTTCACAGCAAACCAAACTGCAACAGAATTTTCCACATTGAAACATTCATTTCTGTTATGTGAAATACTGAAGGTTAACATCTTTCCTCCTGCGTCTCTCCCAGGGTTCGTTCTTGGTCACTCAGGCTGTCGCTCAGGCTCTGGTGGCCTGTGGAGCACCCAAAGGGTCCATTGTTACTGTCGGCAGCATCGTGGGGAAGGTGAGACACCAGCAGGCCTGTCTGACATATCCTCTCTATTTGACAGCTGAAATATTGAACTAAAGCTTTAAAGTTTTATCTAGAAAAGCACAATAATAAGTGTGATAGTGGAATTGTTGTTATAGGATATTAAGTTAGTGATATTAGTGGTTTTAACCTTTCTTTTTAACATTTTCCAAAGCACAAGATACAAGAATAAACTTACATGAATCCATTAAGAACATATTTTTATTCTAAAACACAATATAAATACCAAAGTTGGTTTGAAAGTCTCAGATTTCAGTCCTTTGTCAAAGTATCTGGTGGATTTGAACTTACAAACACACTGTTACCTGTCTGTGTGCTTCATGTTTGCAGGTGGGGAACATTGGACAGGTAAATTACGCTTCCTCTAAAGCTGGAGTGGAGGGTTTAACCAGGACCGCTGCCAAAGAGCTCAGCAGGTGAGAAGAGCCGGATGCAGCAGTAACACTCAGAGCTCCTTCAATAAAAGTATTTGGAGTAAAAACAAAGAGGAATCCTCAGCCATCTGCTTTTTCTTTTCTTTTCCTCCAGGTTTGGGATCCGATGTAATTGTGTGCTGCCAGGTTTCATATCGACGCCGATGACGGATAAAGTTCCAGAGAAGGTTATTAACAAGGTACGGCGCACACACACACACACACACACACACACACACACACACACACACACACACACACACACACAAACTTTGAAAAAGACACAGTATATATAACCTTTATTTATCTATCATATCAATGCTACTAAAAGAGCGGTAACAAAAGAAAACAAGAGTTTTGCTGAGTAAACTCTGCATTTTGTTGTTGTTTCTAGAAATAGAAGTTTGTTAATGAATGTTTGAGCAGCAGAAATGATCCTGTGTTGTTTTAGAGTGGCTGGAGATAAAATTAAAAGACCTTCAACATCACTAAATATTAACAGACATCAGTGGGAAAAGGTTTTTTTGGGTTGGGTGGAAGGGATCCTGTTGAACTGAATGTTCTTCAACCAAATTAAATCTCTCCGCTCCAATGAAACAACGCGACAACAGCGTCATCCTCCGTAACTCTGTGTCGTGTTCTTTGTGTTTCAGATGAAGTCCTTGGTGCCTTTGGGAAGAATGGGTGAGCCTGCAGGTCAGTGATGATGCATGTTTATAATCAATCTGATTTCTTTTCCCTGCAGTCCTTTATTCTCATTTCATAAATCTTTATAATGGAAATGTTCTTAGCTCCAATCAACACTAGAATTTAAAACATCTCAAGATTTTAATTATCTGTTACAGCAACACCAACCAAAAACACTTTGAAATGTTATTTCATTATGTCCACATATATATTTGTACAGTAAGATGAAGGGAACAGGATGTGGATTGTTTCCAAGACTTGCTCACACTTGTCGTTCTTTTTGCCCTCCACCAGAGGTCGCTGATGTCTGTGCCTTTCTAGCTTCAGATGACTCTCGATACATCACAGGAGCCAGCGTTGAAGTGACAGGTACAGTATGAGTCACTTCTCTTACAGAGACAAGTACCCTCTCACCTGAACTTTTATTATATAATATACAGATATTTTCTTAAATCTTACATTTTAAAGGTTAAACTCAACGTATGTGTCTCTGTCTTTGTCAGGTGGACTTTTCACTGGTTAAATCAGCTGTCTGTCACACTGATGAAGACACATGGGAGGCCAGTTAGTAGTTAATTTAATTGTTTAAATGATTCTACTTTAATTAGGTCTTTTTTTTAATGATTACTGTTGATTATGTTTTATATATCTGGTTGTTTACATGTATTATACAGTGTAAAGCCATTTCTTTGTGCCAATAAAAACCTGTTTGTAATATTTCTGTACAGAATGTTATTTTATTTTGAAAGCTTGAAAATAAAAGCATTCATATGTCTGTAAAGCCCTCCATGATAACACCATTTTCCTTCCTGACTCATCCTAACCTTGTGTGGAGAACAGGTGGGATTTGAACCAGCTTCTCCAGATTTGCAGACATTTTAGAGGTTCTCATTGACAACTCTGCCACACCAGCAGAACCTCTTTACATTTTCATTGCTCTCTGAGAGCCTTGATTCAGTTCCTCTAGAAGTTAGCTTTTAAAACACTCTTGGTGTCAAAGGACTGAAGAGGGTTTGAACCACTGAACTCTTCATCTTCAGACACTGCAGGTGTTTAACTCACTGCACCACTGAGCTCATCTGCTTTCAAACACATTCGATAAACCTTTTGGGATTTAACCTCAATTTGTTGGCTTTTAAAAATCAGCTGAGAAGTGAAAAGGGGTTTCACAAATCTGCATCATGCTGCTCTCAGTACTGCCAATGCTTTTTAAAAACCCAAATCAGATTCATCATTTTTAATCGACCACACGTGTTTCTCACATCCAACTGTTGGTTGGTGGATGCTGCTTCTCACAACACAGCTAAACATCAAAGTTAGGTTTTGGGAAATGGGGCCCAGAATCCAAAAGATTGTGTAACATTATATTTCCCTAAACCATGAAGTGAAACAACAGTGTAGTTCGTCATGTGTAATATTTCCAAAGGGCTCGTCGCTGTCAAAATCCCCACAATGTTTGAAACACTGACACATGCCAAAATACATTTTTTACACAAAAAAAGGAAAAGCAAAACAAATATAACATGTTTCTTTAAATATGTATTTTTGTGTATGTGTATTGTTTCCAGTGATATAGGCTACATAAACCAATTAATTACTGTCAGTGACATGAACTCAGGATGGTAAATTACTTTCACTCATTTAAACCTGCACAGGGGGAAGAACTCCAAACAGCCACAAGATGTCGCTGTTTTGTATGACAGATACATGAAAACATAGTCTATAACCAATAACAAATTAACAGAGATCGATACATAACTGTACGGAACCGAGTAGGTTTAATGGTAAATATGTATATATATATATATATATATAAATCTCAAAGACATTAACTGATCATTCTCGCCCTCTCGTATCAATGTTTTCGTGTGGTTAAGTTAGCAAATAAAGCAGAAACACTTAACATTATCCCATAAAACAGCCTTTTAACACTAAAAAAAAATCTACACTCAGTTTTTCAGTCCAAAAATGCAACAGAACTGCATTAAAACCCACTTTATCTCCACAGTAAGACAGGTGGAAGGTAGCATGCTGGCCACTAACACTGCTGGTGCACCTGTCTGAACGATGTAGCCACAATAGCTAAGTTCACTTCCTAGGGTCACAATTCAGTCTGATTTGTGGGATTAATTATTGAATAACGCAAACAGACTATCAAAATATCTACCAGCAATACCCATAAGGTTCTGTAGATTTAAAATGGGCTTTTAAGTCTGGCAAAAGCTGTATTTTCCAACAAAAAAGAAAGGAAACCATATAGTTTACATTTATATTAAATTGAAACAACATGAATTACATGAACACACACGAGGAAGGTGTGTACTTCTTGTATGTATCTTTTCCCAACATGACACACAAGAACCATTAAACTACCTGTACAAATGAGGAACAGCAATGTCCTGTGGCCATTCGTAAGCAAAGAGAAGTACTGATGACAGGGGCGTGGAAGAAAAACAAGAGGCAAGCAGCTCTTTTTAAAAAGATTATATATTACAGAAACAAGAATTTAAAAAAATTACTTACACACATTATAAAATAACTTTTTTCTCTTTTCAGCACCATATTTTTATGTTGAAATGTTCGTCTTCAACACAATAAAAACAAATATTTGAGGTCATTCTCTCTGGAGAATCTCACGGTCAGATTTTGTAATTTTTAGATTTTGGCCATCCCCATTTCCCTGCTATATTAAAAAAAGACAAACAAATAAACAACAAAGAAATAAAACCAGACCCAAGTATGATATCGCCCCACAGCCACCCACGGTGGCTGACAGAGCTGTCCCCTCCCTCTCAAACCTTTCTCCTACCCGCTGTGGTCTCAGATAGAAATTTAAAAGATCAGCGGATTGTGTGCCAATATTTTTAGCACTGACTCAGTAAACTGATTTTCTGTGATACCACCAACTCAAACAGTAGCAAGGACAAGAAAATGTGACAGAACTGGAGAGTCACCATTTAATCATTACAGTGGAAGCAAAATTTAACAGCACAGTACAGTTGATGAAAACACTAAAAAGGGATATTACAATAAAATATGGCCACAGATTCTTTGGTTCTCCAAACAGAGTTTGGACAGGGCGTGAACACAAGCACCATAACTCAGGCTGGCAGTGAGTTTAACATGCAAGTCACTCGCTTCACTTGACCTTCAAGTGTCAGCTACAGGAAATAAATACAAATGAAATATACCACATTTGACTGGAATATTTGGTGGTCCTTGTTTTTTTTAATCTCAAAGCACCCTGTTTGTTTTAAATAAATACAATAGAATATCACTATTTCTGTACAAATGGAATGTAATGCACATTTTCCCCAGTAAGAAGCTTTATGAAATTGTAAAAGAGACTAAAGAAAATGAAGGACTCAGAGTGAATACTAAAACTTTTATGCTTTGGTATAATTAGCACCTTGCCACACAGTTTCTTACAGTAAAGCATGCATTTTATTCACTGTTGTAGGAAAAATAAGGAGGGAACTTTGAATCTCATATACATATTTAAACCCTGATGATGTTCTGTGCTTGGATGCTAATTCAGAAAATGTGTTCTGGATGGAAAACAATAATCCCCCGAAAGTGACTCAGCAAATACTGGACTGGTGTGTGGTTAGCGACCCTGGTAGCCTGATCCATGATTTAAATAAGAATCAGCCCTTAACATGTAAGTACAATAGCATCAAGTTTAGCACAGTTTACAAAAATAATGGCTTTTAAATTCACTGATCTAGGTATCAACACATCTCCCATCCTGCCTTGCTGTATGCAGAAGGTTTTGTCCAACGTTAACAAATGAACATTTCAAAGAGAGTTTCTGCTGCTCTCGGCTGAGGAAAGTTTGTCCAGTTCAAAAAAAGAATGAATCTTACGTCATACTGGACTCCATTAACCTCGCTGCGTAACACCAGAAAGATTTTTCAATCATCACTTTGAGCTGTGAATCACATTTTTAGACTGTTTTAATAAAACTGCAGGGTGTCATGAAGAGAATATTACATAGAGTAGAAAATTCACTTTGTGGCAGCTTAAACACGACAGAAAACAGATCAATCCAACGGGCAAGACTCAGCAGTTCCCTCTTTTTTTATTCTGGGTGGAAACTGGTGGCTTTAATTCTTCGGTTCCTTTTGATGTAATAACATAAGAGCTGAGAGTGTGTTTTCCATGTCAGCAACATGATTGACAAGTCACTTGGACGTTCATTCATTTTTCTTACAGAACTAGAAGAATAGATGCCCTTACAGAGATGGACCAAAGCTTTATGTCAGCTACAGCTGAACATTTTGCGACCACTAGCTGTCATTTTCTGGTCAGTTTGGTGTCTGCTGTTTTGATTTGATTTGATTTTGGTTCACAAGTTCTGGCTGGCAAGTGCAAAACGGATAAAAAGTTGGTTTTACAGCTTTCAATTCTCAACATTTTATCTGAGTGACTAAATGAACAAACGCCCAACAACTGCCAAGCTGTGATTCAAAACACACGATTTAACAGCTACACAGGAGCCTCTTGCACTTCTCGTCAGTCATAAAAGAGTGACCGTCAACCACGTTGCTTACAGTGTGAACGTGGGATTAAAGAAATGGAAATAATGTCCAGGTGTGACCCTTTTTTGGGAGGAGGAGGAGGAGGGGGGAGGTAGAGCAGGTGAGATGAGTGGAAAAAAGACAGCGGGGAGGAGAAAAGAGTGAGAGGGGCATCGGAGACGGGGGTGTGGGGCTTCAGGCCTCAAGTCGCTGGCTTGCTCTTTCTCAGGCCGGCCCCTTTCGCTGCTGGTAAAGAAAACACTGTTTTATTCCGAAGAACACTCTCTCCTGTTTTTTTCTTCCTTTCTCGTGGTTGTGCGCCCAAACGATGGTCTCCTCTCCACGAGTTTTTCATTTCTCTCCTCTTTACTTTTTTTTTGACGTCCATTAATTGTTGGGAGGATGTTGCTTTCCCCAGGCACGTACTTGAGTGTGAGTGCGTGTTTGTCTCACAACAGCATCTGCGTGTGTAAGTGTGTGTGTCTGTGGGTTTGTGTGTGTGTTTCATATCATTTACAAGTTAATTTACAAATTACTGGGCGTGTATGTTTATTATATATAAGTGTGTCTCTAAGTGCATGTGTGTGTGCGTGAGTATTTGCATGTGTTGTTCTTTGCAACAAGAGTGTGTGTGTGTGTGTGTGTGTGTGTGTGTATGTGTGTGTGTGTTTAGCCTTGGAAACAGACAGGTCCCACTTCAAAGCCAAACTGCTGGTTGCTCTCCCCAAAGTCTGACACCTTGATATCCAGCAGAGGAAGATGCTCCACCTGTGGCGTGTTGATCTCCAGGACTGTCCTGTCAAAGCCCTTACGATACTGCAGAGAGAGAAAAGAGCGAGAGACACGTATCAGGAACTGGATTCAAGATATACATGTGGCACGAGTGTGAACAAAGATTGTCTAAGGTTGTGTGAAAATGAGCTTGAATCATTTTGTTCATATTAAAACTCTGCATCATAACATGGCAAATGAAAACACTTTGGAAAGAGAACTGATGCACTTTAGATGAGGCTGCCTGGTGCTTGAAGGTCACAATGGATTATCATTTATCGTTCCCATTCATTATAAAGAAGTGAAAACATATCCTTTTTAAGATAATATATCAAACACACAGTAGATCAAATTAGACAATTCTCAATTTCTTTTTAAGTTAAGCTAAATACTTCATAATCATAATCTGTAAGTTCTGTATGTTAAATGTTATTGTGATCAAGTTGTTTGACTTTTGATGTGTGGGACATAACATACACATAGTGCAAACCAATGGAATATCACTTAGAGAGATACAGTAGAAGCAGTTTAATTTGACTCATTGGTTCATTGTTTAGTTGCCTGATGGACTATCCTACAAGTGCACATACAGTACACTGTGACTTTGTTTTGAAAGGTGCTGAATAAATAAAGTATTTTTAAATAATTATTATTTTTATTATAGTGCAGCATGTGGTCCAAAACAAAGATTTCCAGAAAGACTTAATAAGCTCGAACTCACAGAGCAGCCATCGACCAAGGCCTTGATGTAAGGGTTGGTCTCGTAGCTCAGCCCCTCATCGTTGGCACCCTTGAGGTGCAGTGCCCTGTCGTAGCTGTTCTTGGCGCTTCGGTCAGCCCAGGCAACTGAGCGGTGGCAGTGGTAGGTGAGGTTCTGGCGGGCCTGAACACTCAGGAGACGCAGGAAGCCCAGCTGGACCACGCCCACTGGCTCGCCATTAGAGTCCACATAGGAGAACTGGGAGGAGGGAGAGTGTGAAGAGGAGGTAATAGAATGGGATTTGGGGGAAAGACAAGAATATAATTACAAGGAAAAGGTGGAAGAGCAAAAGAAGGGAATGCAAATAAGGGGAAAGGGATTGCAACAAAATACAGGGTAATTAAGTAAAGGTCAGAACTAAACTATTAACGAAAACAAAATGTTTCATTACTTGTCGTCACAGAGGCTTACTAACCTTACTGCCAGTGGCAAACTGACTGTACCAGGATCCAGGAGTCTCTTTGTCCCAGGAGCTCATCTTCACCTGCCACCAGAATTGTCCACATAACATATTGTAGTCAGACACATTTAGTTTAGCTTTGCATGAATAAATAAACAGAGCTTGTGTGGGAAAACCAGACCGTTTTTTCCTGAACCATTAAAGCACTTATTAGTTTTATTAATAATGTGTTAGTGTGCAAATGTAACTGGGAAGTTTCTAGTTTCTAGAAAGTGGGCAATCAGAGGCTGCAAACCTTCACCAACAGTGATTAGTACTCCTACAATTTCTTCACAGCAAAATTCATCATTCCTATCCCTTACATGTTTAGTTTAACAGATGTCTTAACTTGCACTTAGGAGTTAGTATTTGGAGATTTCACAGGATTTTAAGGAGACTTTATAGTCCTCCTGGTTTGGGGGACTGACCGTGTTGATGCTCTTGCTGGGGTACAGGCATGTCTCCACTCCGTTAGTGAAATTACAGAAGACCTTGAAAGAGTCTCTAGAGCAGCCCTGGTTGGGGTCAATCCAGTAATCTCCTGCAGAGGGCGACAAAGCAAGATGGGAAAAAAATGAAATCTCTTGTTATGACTATATTATATTAAGGTAAATCATTACCATGAAATGTCTGTATTTTCCAAAAAACATTTTTTTACGTACTGTTAGTGCAGTAACATGTTTGTAGTTGTTATACTGGCAAGGGGATATCTATAGTACACATAAATAAATTATTTTAGAATAATAATAATAGGATTCATTATGTTACCGTCTTTGAGGTCCGGCTGGCTGAGGTGCAGGTCTTGGCAGGTGCGGGCAGGGCTGTCCTGGGTGCCCAGAGGGAAACGCATGGTCTCGATCTCCTGTCGAAGCGAGTTGAGAGAGCCAAAGATCTCCTCCATGCCTTCACTGCCCATCAGGAACTCAGTGCCAGCGGCATCAGATGCAGGCATGTCGGGGTCGGACTCGGGGAGCAGCTGGCTGGCATCGATGGAACGTTTGGACTTGGGACTCCTCTGGATGGGCAGAGGCTGAATGACCTCACCTGGTGGGCCCTGGGTAGCAAGTTTATATTTTCATCAAATAAGTGACAATCAACAGTGAGGTGCAAAGAGTGAGCAGATAAGAATTTCCATCTTTTACAATGAAAGTTGAAATACTTACAGGAGGTCCTGGAGGTCCTTGTACACCCTTTTCTCCCTTTGGACCAGCTCCTCCCTAAACACAGCAGAGAAATAAAAGATTCAAGAAGCATTACTGCATCAGATCCAAATCAATGTGTTTTCCATTAACAGTGTCATTCATTCTTCGTGGTGCAAACACTCAAAGTGTACTCACAGAAGAACCCTTAGCTCCTTTGACTCCTTGAGGACCCTGTAAAAGATATAACGCTTTAGTTTAATGACGGAGACCATCTATCAGTGTTTTATGGCTGTCACTAATTTATATGGTACTTAATAACATCTGTGGAACTGAGCAAAGAATACGAAAGTGAGATAATGTTCATGGATAAAACAGTACTCACAGGCAGACCAGGAGGACCAGCAGGGCCGAGGGGTCCAGTGCCTCCAGACATTCCCTATAAAACACATGTCTTTTATGAGAATAGTTTTTATACATTATTATTACAATTAAGGTGAATAATGGTGATTGAGCTGCTCCTCCTAACACAAGTAAAACAGGTCAGACTTACAGTCTCTCCTTTTGATCCAGATGATCCCTGCGGGCCGGGCAGACCTCTGTCTCCCTTCTCTCCCTGCTCTCCAGGGGGTCCAATGAGACCAATAAGACCTGGGTGTCCCTTCTCTCCCTTGGCACCAGGGTCTCCACGCAGACCAGGCAAACCAGGAGGTCCCTACAGGAGGAGAGGAAGAGAAAGAAGATGAGAGGAGGATAACAATGAGGAGGGGGTGGTTAAGGAGACGGGAAACATGAAAAACAGGAGATGAAGAGAGGCAGAAGAAAGAAGATGTGGAAGACAGGAAGAGGAAAGTTGGAGGATTGAATGAGAAGGCAGTAGAAGGAAAGACTGCTGTTTGATCAAAAGTAACTAAACAACTTATTTTAATGAATGTACTGTGTATCAAAGTGCAGAGTAGATGTATACATGAAAATAAAAAGGAATTGTTATCTTACAAGAGGCCCAGGTGGTCCTTTCTGTCCAGAAGGTCCTGGAGATCCTTGTTCACCCTGAAACACAGAAACACATTTAGCAGGTAGTGGCGATCCAACAAATAATGCATACACATCACTTGTTACTCATGAAATATTGTATTGTCTAGTGGTCGCATTAACAAACACAAAAATTCAAAGTCAACATCTTTACTGACCACTGATCCTGGGAGTCCTCTAAGACCTTCAGTTCCTGGTTTTCCTGGTACACCCTGGGGTCCCACAGGGCCAGTTTTTCCTGGTGGGCCGACAGCACCTGGGTCTCCCTGTAAATGGTGGTAACAGTAATGAATAAATATTTTAAAAAGTTATGTATCAACATAAGCTATGTATCACAATTGACAAAAGAAAATAAGACGAGAGGAGACAAGCTATCTGCAAAACTTAAATAACAAATCACAGGGAAAAAACAGAGTTTGTGGTTGGTCCTGGGATCACTGATGGAAATGATCATGAGTTTGCCATGAGTTTAAACTAAACATCTATTTAGAACCACAGGGAGTTCAAAAATGTACCTTAGTTCCCTTCTCTCCCTGACGTCCCTCAGGTCCTCTTGTTCCAGCAGGGCCCTGGCAAATAAAACATAAAACAGTGCATTAACGAACACAAAATACACTATATTTGAATATTTAAAATTCCATAATTTCATCAAAAGCTTGCCTGGTCAAACACTCTCATATTACAGATAAACAGTAAACTAAAATGTGTTTCTGAAACATTTTAGGGGAGATTCATATTTATCAGCACTGCCTAGTTTGACAGTTTGATCGGGTGATGCACTGGACAGACTCTCTGAGAATTACAAGGCAGTTAGGCCCAAAAGCATACCCTACTTTATCATCTATTTTAGTCCAAATGGGACTATAATTTACAAAATGAACATCAAGCTGCTTTGAAGAAGACTTGAAACTAGCGATTGAGACCATAAACTCATTAGGAAACTGTCTACTGAGGTAATAAATTGAGTGATTAATTTTTCTCCATTTTGTATTATATTAAAGCCCCCTAGTGGCCATTAGAAAGAATGCAGGTTTAAAGTACGTCAGCATTGGCCTCATTTCACAGACCCGGGAGCTCTATCAACCATTTATTATACAGTCCATGGTCATTGATCTCTATATCAAATAAAGGCCATTCTTTTAAACATATTTTGGGGGCTTTTATTGCCTTTAATTGATAGTAACAGCTGAAGATAGACAGGAAAGGGCCGCAGGTAGGAACCTGGGCCGCTGCAGCAAGGACTCAGCCTTGGTACATGTGGCACCAGCTCTACCAGGTGAGCTATTCAGGCACCCCAAATACAGGCCATTCACTACCAAGTAAATAAAATGTTTCTTGTCCTTTTACATCACAAATGATACAACAAAAGCTGACTTGGTGAAGCAGATTTGATGCTAACAATATTAACCAGCTCCTATCCTTTACTTCACACAAAAAAATGCTTGAGCCAGTGACATTGGAAGAAAGAAGCAAATTGATGGATGATGGAGGAATGCATTATGACTGCCACTGTGCTGCCCACATGCAAACACCTCCTGATAGGACCAGGATGATGACCTTACCCTCTTTCCTGGGGGGCCGAGAGGTCCATTCTCACCAGGAGGTCCAGGGGAACCCTGCAATAGGAGGCAGAGAGAGCAGATTGAAGACGCTGAGATACTATTATAACTTTTCATTCACATATCTGCATTAATGCATCTTTTGACTTACAGATTCTCCTGATTCACCATCTTCTCCTCTCTCTCCCTTGGCGCCATCTTGACCCTGAAGTGAAGCAGATCAGGGTTAGTGGTTCTTCTTATTGTTTACTTAAGCAAAAAGATCATGACAACATGTATATGGAACAAGCTGAACTGATCTGTTGGAAACTGTGCAGCTATACAACATCTCTGAAATTAGAATACATTATTGATTGACAAGATGCTGACATGTACTTTTCAAAAGAGGAATACTCACTCTGGGTCCAACCTCACCAGGAGGACCAGGATCACCAGGGAAACCAACAGGACCCTAGAGACAAAAACAAAATGTCATCTGAATTTAGGGCAATAAAACTTGGTTATTTTGAGAGAAAATCACTTCTCTTCCTTCTGTAGTGAAGTCTAAAGTAATTGATCTGTCTCACAATGTCATTGTGCGTGTGTTTGTGTATGTTGCATTGTGGATATCATACAGGGTTTCCTTTGGGTCCGTCGTCTCCAGGTCTTCCTCGTCCTCCAGCAGGTCCAGCAGTTCCAGGTTGTCCTGCCTCTCCCTTCTCTCCGCGCTCTCCACGAGGACCCTGCCAACAGGAGCACAGATCTCTTTGTTAACTCATGAATGCTATTAAACAGTCAGTAAAGGCACCATATCATTTAAATCCACAACATGTTAGGGTCAGACACCTTCTTTCCCGGCTCCCCTCCAATTCCAGGGGGTCCACCCTCACCAGGCTCTCCCTGTGGAGCAAACAGTATATCTTTTAGTCTCCTTGAACAAGTAGAAATTACTTCAGTTTTTATGTTTTTGGACATGCATACAGAAATATTGCTTCAATGCCAAAATTCGTTCTCTCTGCACCTTCTCTCCAAGAGGTCCAGGATTACCCAAACCACCAGGAGGACCTTGGGGACCCTGAAAAACACAGAAAAAAACAATTAAGACAAAAAGATTGAATGATTTGCATCAAAATGGTCATCAGAAAAAAATACTTTACTTTTTTACTTACCTACCTAACAATAATTTGTTACATTGCACTCTTAAAAACTGCTTAATAGAATACACAATATAACAAACCACGCTGCGCTATTTTTAAAACAAAATTCATTTAGTCTCATTTAACATGCTACAACCAACAGTGTTGCAATAGTATCATAACAGCTCAACAACAGCTCTTTGTGGTGTAACCCATTTAGATTACAGATTGTTGTCATTTTACAATTAATAGCTGTAAACACTCACATCAGCACCATTGGGTCCAGCAGGGCCACGAGGTCCTGGAGGGCCTGGAGGACCCTGGAAACATAAAGAGGCTCACGCTGTTATCACAATTTATGATGTTATTATAATTAAACAAGTCAATGATGCAGTCAGTACGACTGATGTCACGTATTTCTGAAACTCACCAGAGGTCCAACATCTCCTGTCTCTCCCTTCTCACCTGGTGGTCCTGGCAATCCCTGCAGGACAGAGTGGATAGTTACATGAATAATTTGTTTAGTGTAGGTAGCACCTTAGCACAAAGTGAAGCTCAAAACTCCATATAAATATTTGTATCAAAGTATGAAATAAAGATTTAATGAATATTTGAGTCAATCTGCCTCTGAGTGTTATGGCTTTTATTTTACCTGCAGTCCGATGGGTCCTGGGGCACCTGGGAATCCTCTGGATCCTTCATCACCTTTAGCTCCAAAAGGCCCCTGTTGGCCCCTTGGTCCAAGCTCTCCATCAGCACCCTGCACCACAGAAGAAGAAAAACAGAAATAAAGACATGAGAGATAGAAATAAGTGTGCTGAAAACATTGTCTTCATCTACTCATGGCAGTAATTGAATGTTCAATGTCTTAACTTCTCGTCAGTACAGCAATGATTGGTGTAGTGTTATTATTACATTTTTATTTTCCATTATCGTATTGGTAGGTCCTGTATCAACACAATAATGCCTTTCCTGGAAAAATTCTCTGCTTCTTATATATTTTAAATACTGGTTTCTCTGGAATTAATAAAATAACTAAGTTTGTGTTCATTGTTGTTGAGTTTTGAGTTAAAGTACTTACAGCAGGACCAGGCTGACCGACAGGACCCATTGGCCCGGGTGGACCAGGAGGACCCTACCAACAAACAAGCAAAGGACACAAACAGTGAGAAAAACAACAAAACAGCAGTGATATGATGAACAGACAAATAGCATCAATTTTAATTCACGCAAATTGATGAAAGTTAGCATCACTCACATGCTCTCCTTTTCCTCCCTTAGCACCCTTCTGACCAGGCTCTCCAACTTCACCCTGTATTGACAAGCAAACAACATGTTACAGCAAAGTTTGAAACAAAGCTCTGAAATCAATGATATCCTGATAAGAGTAGGGTGGACACACAACTCAGTAACTACATTTTGTCCATTCTGGACTTTATGACACATTAAGGTGATTTTTAAAAGCATATGTTGGTGTGAAGACTGTTAGTTAGAGTTACTGGCCTTGTCTCCGTCCTCTCCGGGTACTCCAGGTGATCCGGCAGGGCCAGGCAAACCCACGGGACCCTGTACTCCATCACGACCTGCTGGGCCGATAGGGCCTTTCTCACCCTGAGCAGGAGAAAAAGAACAAAGGAGAGAATCATCAGTTGATGTTTTTTCTTTGGCTACATGGACAACTTCTTTGGATACCACTGCACAAGAGTACTCACAGGAACTCCCTTCTCTCCAGCGGGTCCAGGAGGCCCCTGAGGGCCTGGTCTGCCAGGGGGTCCAACAGGTCCAGCAGTACCAGCTTGCCCCCTCTCACCAGGAGACCCCTAGAAAGGTACATCATAAAGTAGTGAGCACAGCAGGTGTTATTAAGTCAATATAGTATATATATATATATATATATATATATATATATATATATATATATATTTTATTATGCACAGGCAGTGGTAGGCAGTGTAGTTCCTGTAATTTTCTATTTTGTATTCCTTAAACTGTAGTAAAGGTGTAATAGTTTGAAACGTACAGCAGGTCCAGGAGGTCCAGCAGGTCCTTCACTTCCCTTCAGTCCTCCACCTCCCTGAAAGAAAAGACAAGAAGGGAATAATCAGTAATATTTCACCTCAGCTCTACACACTTTTATCCAAAGCTGAACTTACTGCTATCAAAGTGCTCAATATAAGACTAAAAACGGTTTCTTAAAAGCAATTGGCAGGTAATAATATCTGACTGCTGATCTATGCAGTATTTCTCTTGGTCATATTTACAGGGGTTCCAGGCAGTCCTCTCTCTCCAGGGAATCCTCTCAGTCCTGGAGGCCCATCTTTACCGGGGCCCCCGGGGGGTCCAGGGTCTCCCTTGGTGCCCTCCTTCCCTGAAGGACCAGAAAGTCCCTGCTCACCAGGTGGACCTGGGGGTCCGGGGTGGCCACGCTCACCCATGGGGCCAGTCTCTCCTGATGGACCCTGGAAGGAGGAAGATGTAGAGGAAATAAAGTGCAGGTACAAAGAAGGTGAGAATAGATAGAAGATGGGAAGAAAATAAAAATGAAAGGAAAAGAGGACAGGTTGTGTTGTTATGAAAATTGATTTACTGTATCAGTAATGAGAAAATTCTGCACCAGGATTTGGAAAACTCACCTGAGGTCCAACAACTCCAGGAGGCCCAGGTGGACCCATTTTACCTTGGAAACCCTGGAGGAGAGATAAATCAGTTAACAAAAAATACATTAAATGTTGAACCTCGTTCCTGATGAGACACATGATAATGTGTGTAATCCAGTTCTGAACTCATCTCTCACCTCAACTCTCTTGAAACACATAAATCATTTTTTCCCACAGTACAAAAATCCATCTGTTGTTAATTATTATTAATTATTGTTACTAATCGCTGACATAATTTCTGAGTATCCTGTATCCCTGAAATATGTAACGTTTTGGTGGGTTCAACCTTCATCAGGTGTATTTTTTGAATGACTGCTTCCTAAAAGAAAGCCATGACTAGAATCAAGTTAAAGTCTTAAAACCATCAGTTTAAACAACTGGAACATTGAGCCATCTTTAGGAGTAGTAGAAAAATACAACTTACAACTTCTCCTCTCTGTCCAGGGTGTCCAGGCAGCCCGTCCTTTCCTGGTGGTCCCTATAGGGAACCATCAATCAAAGGTCATTAATTAAATCTCCACCTTAAGAGAGCTTTAACTCCAAGCAAGAGGGAGCATCAAACCAAAATAATGAAAGACTAGTTGGAACAATGTACTACAATTCTCTTATGATCCGCCAAGTGATAGCACTGTTAATATACACAATATCAAGAATTAGTCCATGAGAAACTGGTATCGAAAGACTTTCTTACAGGAGGTCCCTTTGGTCCGGGGAAACCATTGGCTCCTTGAGGCCCGGGCAATCCCTGGTGAAACAACAACATATGATATAATAAGAACATATAACAATACCCAAAAGAGCCATTTAGTGTCTTAAAGAAATGTATTTGGCAAAGTGCTACGCAGAAAATGTACAGAAAATTAAGCACTCACCCTCTCTCCAGGAGGACCAGAAGGGCCATCACTTCCTGAAGTTCCCTAAAAAACAACAACACAGTAAATACAATTAAAGTTTTGGATCACAAACTATTGAGATGGGCTTCACTCCAATTTTGAACCAGGTAATATGGAGGTTAAGATCTAAAGTATCAAAGAAAACAGATGGCACAGAATAGGGATTGTTTGCTTAAGATAAGCATTTTACCTGAAATATCAAAATACTTGTAAATGTGAGATTGTTTGAGTTATTAAATAAAAATTTAAAATATCCAGACCTTTGCTCCTGGTTTCCCAGTCGCGCCCCTCGGTCCTCTCTGCCCTCTGGGGCCCTGATGAACACAAACAGTAATTAGTGAAAAGTCTTCATCAGTCACAAACAGTGCAACAGTAATGCTTTATGTGATTATTGATGTTTGATGAGATTTAAATTAATCAAATAATATTAAATCAGTGTTTAAGGAATATCATAACACACCCTGAAAATGTTCCATGGTTTAACTTCACGCATTGCTGCACTGATGCACAGGTGTACTACAGGACTCTGACATCACTGTTGGATGGGGTTACAGGTGCAACAAAGCACACTTCTGACCCCAAACAACCACACTGAGCAGTGATACTTCAACCAGAGAGGGCAATGAAACTCTGCTTTCCAGTCTTTTAAGGTACTCTTTAAAGGACCAGTGGGTAGGATTCTGTGGCATCTAGCAGTGAAGTTGCAACCATTTGATTACAGCTCAGCCTTCAAGGATTTAGAAGGAACTACAGTGTCTGTGAAACTTGCAAAAAATGCAAAAGGCCTATCTAGAATGAGTTTTTGGTTTGTTTGTTATGAGCTACTGTAGAAACATGGCAGTTCAACATGTCAGCATCCGTGGACAACGACTCACTCCCTCTGTAGATAAAACCGGCTCATTCAGCGATTCTTATTGTCAGCTGCTTATACACTAATGAAAACATTTAAAAAATATATTCCATTTCTGCCAATAGAGCCGCCTAAATAATACACACTGGACCTTTAATACCACCAGCAACACCATTTTTGCTCAACAGCTTGTGGAAGAAAGGTCAAAGACCTTCATCCTCCGAGCAGAGTACCTTTTATGCTTTTATGAACAGACAAGTTTATAAAACAAATGAATGAATAAATATAAAATGGTACCGTTGGTCCTCTTTGTCCTCTTGGTCCTGATTTGCCACTAAGACCCTGAACAAACACACAAAAGAACAATATCAGATTCAGTCAGACAGAAGTTAACTGTATATTTCTGACTGTATAACTATCACCGCTTTAAACTCTAATCAGCCTCAATTAGCTGAATAGTCTTATTTGAGGAGCAGAATCTTCCACAGAGCCATCAACTTACCCTTGTTCCCTTCTCGCCGTTTGCACCAGGGAATCCTGGGAATCCAAGAGATCCCTAAAAAGAAATCCACATCTCAGTATCGGCACTGGACCACTCTCAAAAGAAACCACCCTGGATGAATGAATGAGTCAGTGAGGATGATGTTGTATGTGTGTTTCTCTTACTTTGGGTCCTAGTCTTCCAGGGTATCCAGGAAGTCCGGGTACACCAAGTTTACCCTGAAATCACATGATGACATCATTAATCATTTCCGTTACTTACGCAACATCTCTAATTGTATTTACATAATACCAACCAATTGCACAACAAATCGTATTATAGTGATTCATTCACATTGAGAAATATTTGCCATAATATGAAAGCGGAAAGAGAATTAGCTGATATCGTGCTCGGGTATGCTATAGTCATATTAACATGTAATAAAATTAAGGGCAAAATATTTAGCAAAAACTCAAATGTTTAGTTGCAGCAACTAACACCAAATCAAAACACTTGAAATGTTATATTTCACTACAATGCACATACATGTTCAACCATAAGAAGGTAGCCCAATTACATTTCCTGTCTGTATATACTGCCAAATGGAAGGCAATACTTTAATTTTAATAAAATGGGAAATATCTGCACTGGCAGAGCATAAACCTGAAATCCAAATTTTCAGAAGACCTTCACTTTGATGAATAAAACTTAAGCAGGAAATAATGCTTGAATATCTTCAACTTATCCCACATTACTAAGAACATATCATTTAGTCTCAATTAGTCCTAATTGAACAGGTTGTACCTTCTCTCCAACTAATCCAATGGGTCCGATCTCACCAGGGGGTCCGACGCGACCCTTTGGCCCCTCTGGACCATCCTCTCCTCTGGGACCTGATACTCCAAGCTCACCCTGTGAGCAGGGGACAAAGATAAACCGTCAGAATAAATCGCAATATAAAGAGAGTAATGACTCAGCAAATATAAGATCAATCAGTCGACTTCTTCATTCATCAATTAATCATTCTATTAACAAACTGATCTTACCCTCTCTCCCTTGGTACCAAAATCTCCCTTAACTCCAGGGAAACCATCTTCTCCCTAGAAACACAAGCAAACAAAAAACATACAATACTGCATACTCAGCAAAAGACTATTTGAAAATCCACCTTGTTTTTTTTTTGTGAGTGAACTACAAATTTACATATTATCAATATGCAATTGTGATTTAAGAGAGGGTATGTCCTGAATAAGTAATGAAGTATTAAAACTATGATTATTCACTTACCTTCTCTCCCTTGTGGCCCTTCAGCCCACGGATTCCTTGACCTCCCTGCAATGAAAGCATTACATGACTGATGTGCTAGGAAATATTTAAGTCTTGTGTTAGTTCAGGTAATTTGCAAATGCAATGCAAAGTCCTCAACAATCAAAAACCTGTTTGTTGATTTATAAAGACTAACTGTACTGACCTTGATGCCACGAGGGCCAGGATAGCCGATAGCGCCCTGAGGACCGTTGGGACCCTGGAGAAGGTCAAAGAAAGAAGGACAAGTTTATATACATACAATAAATAAATAATAATAAATTGAGTTTGTTAGATGCAAGAGAGGTGGTGGAATGGGGTTTTGATTGACACCCACCTGGTTTCCTTTGGTGCCAGTAGGCCCCTCCTTTCCTGGGTGACCCTGGGAAGGGAAGACAGAGAGTTCAAGCCAAGGACATCAAGGGTTAGTGGATTCAGCTTAATCCATTTTTAGTGACATAAAGACAAAGCGAAAAGACAAACGTACAGGAGGACCGTCAGCTCCGGGCATTCCTGGAAGACCTGGTTTTCCTGTTGGACCCTGGTGGAGAAGACAAGGTGGTCATGAATGAGAGTCCAGAGGACGGTGGTAATGTCCCTGAAACGTTTTAGTAACTGCCACAAGAATAATAATTGTGCTAAAAACTGTGTTTTTACCAAGCTGAGGAGAATTCATTCTCTAACACCAACAACACCAACACATGGATGAACTATGAGCGAGACAAAGCACTGATCGGGAATCAGATACATCCTGCGATTACGTATTCTACTTGACCAACAGTGCTGAAATTTCCACATTCTTTCTAAGCTCAATGTGAGAGATTTATGCCATTATCACAGGGGCGGCATTGATTAGAGAGCTTTAGAAGTGCTGGTAGATGGATTTGTTTTTACCTCTGGATAGAGCTACCTGTTTTTTCCTGTTTGCAGTCTTTATGCTAAGCTAAACTAATCGGCTGCTGGCTGTAGCTTCATATTTAACAGACAGATATTGTAATGGTATCACTTAACAATAATAACATAGTATAACCATTATTCCTGTATCTTGCTGTCCTTTTAATGCAGAGTAACTTTATATATTTTTAGTTTCTTACTTTCTCTCCTGGAGGTCCAAGGGCTCCCTGAGGTCCTGGCATTCCCTGCAAAAAACAAACAAACAAATAAGACATATTTTCAATGTATGGAATGAATACACACTCTCAGAGTTACGGTTTCCTATTATTTTTGTGTCAATGCTTTTGAGCATTTAATTACTTAGTGAAAAAAGTTAATATCACAAATATGTCACACTCGCCAGCTGTCCTCTGTCTCACCTGAGTTCCTGGGGTTCCCTGCTGACCTGGAGGTCCTGGTTCTCCTTGGGGACCCTAAGAGACAAAAATAGAAACAACATAAATTGATGATAACAGCAAAACAAACAGAAGAACAGAGTGAAGGACAAATGAAGAATAGAGAATCATGTCTTAGAATTATTCATAAACAAAGTTTAGCATTACCATACGGATACAAATTATCTGCTGATAGTACAAGTTTACATGATAACATGGTAGATAATGTATAGCAACACTGACCAAGTTTCCTTTGGGACCGTGGGGCCCATCATTTCCTCTTACACCCTGAGAAGAAAGGATGAACAGAAAAATCAGAATGGAATTCTGCACAAAAATGATGTCAACCATTCAAAGAAGGGAGGGATAACAATGAATTCAAACACAGTTGCACAAACTAATAACTAACTCACTAAGGTGAAGGTTTCTATCCAAAACAAGTTTTTTTTTGACAGCACTGGGAACGGAAACTATCCTTGCTAGTGCCTTGCTCAATGCCACTCACAGCAAATGATACATTTTGGTGATAGGTGTGTCTTTAGATTTGTGGGAATCATCAAACACTGTTGCTTATAAGGCAACTTCACTTATTATACACATAAAAGTCTGTCTACAGGTCTAGGGCAAAAATGTTGTCCAAAGCCTTTTGTGGCTCCAGAGGGAGCTGAACAGACCTCTGCAGCCTGCTCATCATTTCAGATGAATGCTAGCGGGTTGAGGCTACAATAGCTGCTACTAGCATCACACAACCGAATCTCAGACCGAACTGTTGACGGTCAATTGTCATTATGGGTAATGTAGGTGCCAGGTTTTGACAAGGAAGAAGACTAATTGGAATGAAAAAGATAATATCTCTGGTGCATTCTGCTGCTCGATTTTGATCCTTTAAAAAAAATAAAAACTGTGAGTCAGATAATATAATATAATAGTTATAGATACAAATGCTAAAACTGGGCAGAGCCCAGCTGCTTTAGCCAAACAACTCTAGTACTTATAAATACATAAGTGTCAAATGCCTAAATCCTGGGTGATACTTGATGTCTTGGCATTGTTTTGAGGTGATTGTGGAAACATGTTCATTTTTAGATGACTGGATATCCCCGTCTTTATATCAAGTCACAGGGTGTTATTTCAGGAGGTGCTGTGGGTGTTCAGTGGTCACAGAGGGATAAAACAATGCAGCTAAAATAACAGCAGCACAATGTGGTTTGCTGAAATAGTTTTTACTCACAGGAGGTCCAGGGATTCCAGGAGGACCTTTGGGTCCAAGCAAACCACGAGGTCCCTAGAGACACACACACACACACGCAAGCCAAGATCAGTTAATAGTCAAAGTTGTAAATTAAATATTCAAACAGCCTTACATCAGCAGTAACATTAGCATCAAGACAAATTAAGATGTAGTTGAAGTTAGTGGTAAATGTTGGAAAATGTCAACAAAAACTGAACATTGTAGACTCTGCAAAGGTAGTAGGTAGGTATGATATTATAAATTAAAGAAAAATAGCAATTTGTCTTATTTTATAAGTTTTGTAACACTTTGAATGTTTACTCTGTTATGATTTTTTAAAAATGTTATTGATTCTTGCTGATTTATAGTGGACATGTAAATGAAGCTGACAGGTATTTACATCCAGACATCTATAAGCTGCTACTTTTCAGTCTGCATGTGTTGGTAACTTTTTTGTGAAAACAATTGTACCATACACCTGTGATCCTGGCAGCACTCGGCTGTATCTTCTACCCATCCATAAGCCCTACACATAATTACAGTGAACGCCAACTATTTCATGTATTATTGCTATGGTGAGAAACGACAGGTGTAACAGGAGCATAAGTGAGACTGAGATAGTACAAATTAGAGTGAGAGCTTTAAAATCAGCTGTGTTGTCATGGAAACACTCACTGGTTCACCTGGGAGACCCCTGGGTCCAATGTCTCCGTCATCTCCCTGGAAACACACACAGAAACAGCACGCCAAGGACGGAAAGACGTTGATTATTAACATTTATTTAGCAACACAAAGACAGATGTACAGATGTAGAGCTTGGAATAATTTCAAATAATCGTTCATATCATCATACCCTCTCTCCATCCTCTCCTTGAGGCCCTGGGGGTCCCATCGCTCCTGAGTCACCCTGGGCAGGAGAGAGGAATCAGAAACATTCTTTAGTTTTTCTTACATACATTGTTATTAAAGTATTAAAGTTCTTATACATACTCTACCAATAATAATAATATGTAAAGTGCATGTGGCATTTTGATTGTGATTTGCTTTTGACTCACCCTGTGTCCTTTGTCACCGGGCAAACCAGGAAGGCCATCAAAACCACGATCGCCCTGAGAGAGACACACACATTTGCAGGGTGTCATTACTGAAGACCAAGTAAAGCTAAAGTAAAGTAAGCTGGCTTAATCATATTCCGGTGTAGCCCACCAGAGAGAGGTTACCTTAGTTCCAGTTTCTCCTGGCATTCCCCTGGCACCATCAGCTCCAGCACGGCCCTGTTAAGAGACAAGCAGAGGAAGAACATGTTTTAAAGTGCTACTGTACATGAGACAATGGTTGAGACACATGCCAAATACCAATGTTTTGTTTTTGACAGGGCATGCTTGGCTAAGATAGAGAGAAAAGAGGATTATGGGAGAGCACTAGGTATGGAAACAGATGATTAGTTGTCTAAGTGTTGCAGAGGGTTGACAAAACCCTTTGTGGAGACTTCTGGAGGTGCAGTGGACTAAAAAATCACACAATTCAGTTAAATTCTTATTTATATAGCACCAAATCACAACAAAAGTTTACTCACTTTTCATATAGAGCAGGTCTATACCCACACTCCCTATAAAATTACACTTGTTATTGGTTTAAATATCTACATAATTTATAACAAAATGTACATAAACTTGGAGCAGCCTCTGAGCTTCTCTGGGAAACAGAGCATTAGAGATTAGTTATGTAATGCCTGTCTACGTTTGGTTAAACAAACAATAAAGAACTTAATGAAAAACCAATGACAAGGCAAGCCAGCCATTTTTATACTCACTCTTCTTCCTGCTTTGCCTGGGGGTCCCATCAAACCCGGGGGTCCCCTGGAGCCCTGAAAAATGGATTGATTGATTGAGATGTCTGGGGTACATTTTTGCAATAGATCATTAATAACATACAATACTGTACTGTACATGTAAGGGTTGATTACATGTATTTGACATACAAATTATTTAAAAGATTAGATTTTGATGTGAGGTCAGGGTTCAGGATTGGCCCACTAAGTGTTTTTACCTGAGGACCAGGGTCTCCGCTCTCTCCCTTCAGACCAGAACTTCCTGGATTTCCCTGAAATAGTCACAATAATCAACATCATCAACTACTACCCATTCTTCCACATCCCTTAATGAGGAGAAAAGAAAATATAATCAGCTGTTAGACAATTAGCAATAATAACAACAAACTCTTAATATGAACAGCTAAAGGTCCAATTGATAGATAACCCACCAGGGGTCCAGGGCGTCCAGTGAATCCCATTGGTCCAGGAGGTCCTTTCAGAGCCATCTAGAGACATTAAATCTCAAAATCAATCATGATGGAGGCACATGGTTTCATGTAATGTTAGTCATGTATGAAGAAATACATCAGCTAAATGCAGTGTTCTTACAGATTCCCTTTAAAAATTCAATACTTTTCCAAACATAAATTTCCGGTCTTCTCTGTAGATTTTTCAGACCATATTTGACATCTGAGTACAACTAGCAACATTTTTATTATACTAACTAAATGGTTAACATGTATGTTACATTATGACTATGTATGCTATTATGCTGCCATATAATTGCCAGAAGATTGTAGCTACATACCGCATTTTCTTTCAAACAAATTTGGTCGCAGATGCCCAGATTTAGTACATTTATGAGACACTTGGGGCAGAGCTTTGCAGGCAGAGATGTACAGGCCTAGAAGCAGCACTGCGTAGTGTGCGTTCAGTTGTCTGAACAGTTGTTGTTTTTTGTTGTGTATTCTATCGTTTACATAGTGATATGATCCTTGAGGCAAACTAACCGCACAATGGAAATGTGAGGTAAAAGTGATGACTGACCCTGGCCTGAGACAAGATGGCTGCTGCCTGGGCTTCCTGTGCAGAAACAACAGGACCCTTGTCTCCTCCACTCTGACCAAAACGGAACTGAAAAGAAAAGAAAAAAGCATTTAGAATATGTGAATGGCTAATAGTAATGTGCCTAATGACTTGTATGGGGCAACTGCTGGATAAACTGAATATAATTTGGACAAATAAATGTTCATACAATAATATGGTTATAGATATGCTTATAGACTACAGCTGTAAGGAATCTACAACTTATTGGTCACAGTACAAGGGTCTCTGTATCCATTTCTGATAAAGGATAAAAGATATTGGTGACTCACAGGCAGCATGACTGAGGTTCCAGGAGGTCCAGGGACTCCATCAGCTCCAGGCAGACCAGCCTTACCAGGAGGGCCCTGCATGATGGAGAGAAGAAGAGGTGAGCTGGCAGGCTCAAGGATAGTATGGAAGTAAAATACGCTCTATCTGCAATGACCAATAATGTCTCAGGATCCTCTTTGCACACATTCAGCACTAATGTTTCACAAACCTTCACAAGTCTTCAGATAACGTGATGCACTCACCCTCTCGCCAGGATCACCAACAGATCCAGGAGGTCCAGAAGAGCCAGGGGGGCCAGTTGGACCCTGAAAGAGGTGGGGAAAGAGCTTAAATATTCTGATTACAGACTCAATGAGCTGGTCATTTTCTCTGTCACTGCCAGGGGCAGTTTGAAAATGGTGTTTCAAAGAACATTTAAGAAATAATGTTAACTGTCACAATCTTGCTAAAGTGCCAGTTAATATTGGCAACAAGGAAAATACACTACCAAAAATATTTCATAGCTCAGAGAATAAAGGTAATAATCAAGAAGACCAAATTACAAGAGTATTAATATAATATTTAAAGATAAGTAATATGTCTTTTAGAAAGAAAACAAGGGAAAAACCATCATTTACTCACAGCAGGTCCCTCAGGTCCTGGAGGTCCTTCAATCAGCATACCCTGCAAAAGTCAAAATAAAGTCAAAAATGTTACACAGGAGGACAGAAACCCGATGAAAGGAGTTTAAATCTGGGGGTGTACACTGAAAAAATACGAGTCATTACTCTAATAATCAGACTCCTGATTTTGTGAGATTTGTTTGTAATTCACCTTAACTAGTAAAAACACATCTAGAGGGATCTGTCCTTCTTCAGTGGCTGCATTTAAGGTTAAAAAACTGAAATATGCCCCAAAGACAAGAATCTTAAAACCATGTTCAGCCTTTTCTATGAGGACAAGAAGTGTTTGTCATTTAGTCTTTAGATGGGCATAGTTGCTGTGATTTGAACTACAAATGTTCTAAGCTATAGGGAGTTTGTCAAGTTCCCAAGTGGATACTGACACACAGTGAACAAGTTATAGACATGAATAATAACTCACTAGCAGCAATTCCAAATCCTGTGATTTTATAACATATAAAAAGTATGGTTCTTGTGGCAGTAGTAGTATCCTAAAAGGTATGTTACATTTTTATCACACCCTCAAACTGATATAATATAATTGGTAAATCTATTTTGAATTACTATGGATGATGAGCAATTGCCTTATAGTTAGAAAAGCAAGATTATGACTGGAGGGTTGTTCTTGGAAACCCCTGGAGCTTCTAGGAAAAGCGACAGGGGAAAGCTTTCCCTTTCCCGAGCCAGTTATAAGCCAGTTAATACACCTGCTCAGGTAAATTGGATGAAAGACAATCAGTAACTCACAGGCTCCAAGACAGCAGGATCTCCTTTGTCTCCTTTCTGGCCTCTGATGGCAGCCTGAGGAAAACACACATGTAGCCAACAACACAGCGTAGTCAGTATAGAGGTACTCACACACACCCATCAAAAATAAAAAAGGCAAAGACACTCATGGAATGCACATTATAGACAACACTGTTTTTGGCTGAATGCATTTAAAATACAGGTAGATGCACACTCACATAAAGACACCAACATTAGTTTGCCACATTATATCAAACACTATTATGCCAGTGTAGAAAATAGAATAATAAAATGAAAACCTGTTTTGCTCGTGATAAAGGCATAAGCTTTCGTCCAAATACCGATGATTCAATGGTTCTCCAAACTGTCAGTCCATTACTTGTAGAATCTTTTGCATAGATACAGACAATCATCTGGGCTTAGTAGCTCTAAATAAAGCCATACACTGACATAAATGGCATTCAAGACAAAAAATGCAGCAGTCGGTTACTGCCGCACTTCCAAATGCCTCTTTATGCAGTGTATGTGATAGTTCAAGTTATTGTTTCTGTTTATTAGGATCCCCAATAGCTTCTACCATGGTAATAGCTATTCTTCCTGGGGTCCTAAGTAGCTCACTATACACCGTATAGAATAAAACCAATTTCAACCACTCATGTGAGTACTAGATCTTGGTCCTTAAAGTATTTGAAATGCATTCAAATACAGATTTCTCTGTGATTGATTGAACTTGCCTGGCATAAAACTGAATCTGTGAATAGTCCATACATGCATGGTGGCCAATTTTTTATTTACTTGTATCACACTATGAGTGGGAAACTAAAACAGGTGTTAACAGCCAGTACATAAAAAGGTGATTTTTTAAGGTCAAGTACAGTACAGTACAGTACAGAGATTTCTAAACTGATATTAGAATATTTAGGTCTATCTGAAGTCCCACTTATGTGTTAAAGTGAAGGTAATTATGGCTACATTCTCAACCCTATCTTCCAGGTTACATTTTCTACAGTTCCGTGTGTTCAAAATAGCCACCATGGGGAAGAAGGTCAATAGGTCCCAGAGTGGTAAATAAAATAATAGTAATAAATGGTGTCTCTCAATAATGGCCTTTGAGAGACGGCAAACTCAAACCAATCATTTGAGAGGACATTGAATACAATTTGACAAAGACTAGGATTCAGAGTTGGTTGAAACTGATTTTGTTTTTTTTTTGCCTGTGAAGCAAAACGACTTACGCCTCCCTCATCTGTCACAGCGGACAGGGCGGGGCCCATGTTGGCATCGACCTCTCCAGTCTCCAGTAATGGCTCATTGTAGTCCCTGTAGGAATAGTCGTATTCCTTAAGGCCCACGTCCCCAGTCACATACTCCTCAGTGAAGACTTCCTCGCCCACACCGCCTGCCTTGGTGGCATCTACCTCCTCTCCCACCAATTCTGGCTCCACCTGGGGCTGGGTTGGGTTTATCATAGCCGCAATGGGATGGACAGAGGGGTACGAGAGGATGAATCAAGCAAAGGAAAATAAAGATGCAAGAGGAAGAAGGAACAGTGAAAGGAAGAGGGAGAGGGGTGTATGATGGGGAAATGTTAGTGAAGGCAAGAGAGATATAGAATGAAAAAACAGGGGGATTGGAAGAGGGGGGCATATATAGAAAAAAGTGAGTCTTACCTCTTGTAAATAAACAGTAGGGACAGAAAACAAAAAGACATCTGGAAGACTGTGGAGACTCTATTAGTCCTTCTTGTTATAACTTCAGTATGAAGTCTTTTTTCAGGTGAATTATTATGGATTATGAGGTTTATCCTGCAACCTTAAATCTTTTGTTAATTATCTGTTGAGCTTATAATAGTATGTTTCCACCAAAGCATATCCTCATCAGTTTGTGTGTGATGGCCTGTAACCAAATGATTTCTCCAAATTTGCCAAAATATATTACCTGACATTATAAGTTTGGTTTAAATCAATAAAGAGGAAAAAAGGCACTTTTATTGTCACGGGCATGTTTGCATAGTCCCTAAACACACAGAACTGATATGAAATCTTTGTGCAAACAACTTTGTGCTATGCAAAGCAAAAAATGTTATTTTCTATTTTACTTACCACAAATGTTTTAAAAACAAATATGAATCCAGTGGAAGTAGGCTGTACTGTTATCTCATATAAAAATGCAATCATTGAGTGAATACATCTGAAGCACTATCACAACAAACTTTAAATAATATGTATTCATTCCTAAAATATACCACATAGAACTGACACATTTTCTTCCATCAAAACAGAAGCAAAAACATCCTAAGTATCAAAACTGGAAAACAAAACAAAGTCATCAAAGGCAGGTAAAAATAGATAAAATTGGAATGATGACAATATGGACAATTGCCACAATGAACTGTGAGAAACAGATCAGAACTGTGAGAAAACCATTCTCAAATTCTGATAGTTTAGGGCTGTAAAGAAAGCCACAGGAACAACTGTATTCTTTAGTTCTGTTAGATTTTTCTCTCAAAGAAGAATACATTATATTCATCTCCCTTTGGTTAAAAGTGCATATCAAATATTCCTATGCGGGTCCCTTTTTTCACAAGATTTTTGTTCTTATGTCAAGATCACTACCTGTTCAACCAAGGACTTTGAGATGAGAACAAAAAAGGAATCTTGTTGTCAGGAAAAAAGAGAGCCACATAAAAATGTTTGATGATACAAGCAGATGAATGTGGTGCATTCCCTAGTGAGAAGTTTTTCTCTTATGTCTTGTCATGTGGCATCGGTGCCAACAAAACATTGATGTGCGGTTAGAAAAGTGTAAGAGAGACACAGAGCTATAACTACTGGGTTAAACTATTAAAAGACTGGGCTCACCACTATACAGGTATTACACTGTCTTCTTCCTTTGGTGATGGAAGCCTCTTGTGTTGAGGCGATTTATTCTTGTTTTTGTCACTTGTGCTAATTGTTAACTTTTGAGGTTTTGACATTTTAATGCGCAAATTAAGCAAATCTATCTGGAGATTAGGAGCTGAATTTACATGTATGTTCTTATTAGGGTTCATCTATTCTGTTGGTCTTCTTGACTATTTCTTCTGTGTCACTGATCAGTGTGTAATTTTCTTTTTACCTGTACAGGGACCTCTTCTTGTCCAATCACCTCACCGTCTGGCAGTGGGACCGTCTCCTCATAGTAATAATCAGTCTCTGTAGGGGTGTGGCCAGCCTCGGAATATTCAGTGTCTACATCCTGATTGGTCAAGTTGACAGGAATTGGGGAGCAGGGAGGAGGTAAGCAGATTTGATTTGAAGAGCGAGGTTAGTTCAAAGTCTGCTTGTAAGTGATGATGAGTTAAAAGAAGAAAATGGAACACATCATAAAATTGTGGTTGCCAGCGGCAAAGACATTTTTACAGGCAACTCACATTTTTTAAGTTGTAAAGATCCATTTTGAAAAGAAATTTCAGGTTGGTTCAGAATCTCAATAACTATAAATGTTGCCATATGCAAGATTTAGGGAGTCACTGAGACTACTTTGCTGAGATTTCTTTTCATTGTATTGTTGAACAAGTTTTGCCTTTTAAAGCTCACAAAGCCAAGATTCATGAAAGGGTGAAGTCTGCTCTTATTGGAAGTAGGACTGAGAGTCTCTATCCATCCCTTAAGATGAAAACATCATAACTCGATGCTTTGGGATGTCTAGTTTCACCCAAGACCAGAAAACAGAGAGACAACCCTAATCAACAGCCTCACAGAACATAATTCAGTTACTTCAATGTAACAGTTAACACAAGCTATAAATTCTCCAGAATCCATTAATGACCATGAACCTCCCAGTGTTTCTCTAACTTGAATCACGTTAGCTTCATAGTAGACTACACATTAAATTAAATTGAACACCTAATGAAAGCACATTTAAAGCTTGCTTTTTACTTTCTGTGAGGCTGCTTTATTCATATTTAAAACAAAATATATCTAGAAACAGGGAAACAGGTGTCAGAGAGAAAACACAGGTACTTAAAAAAAACAGAGAGAAAATGACAGAGTGAAAGGGGGAGTTTTGTTGTGTTGCTTGTGTATAGAATGTGATAGTATTTGTGTTTTCTCAGGTTTAGTTTTTGTGCCATAGCAATCCATGCTCATTCATTTGATCGGTACGTTAATGGTTTCCCCCCGAAAAGAAAGAGACGGAGTGCTGGAGTATATTCAGATTCTGAGATCCAGTTTCAGCAGCTTGAAGGTAGGAGTATGAAGTGAAGTAAAGAACAATGAAACTGTACAATTAGCCATGCTTCAATGTGCACCGCTTTATCATATCATATGGAGAAGTTGGGGTGATCATGAAGATCATATGATATATAAACAGAGGAGAAGGCACCCAGATTGGTATGAACCAACTTCCATTCTGAAGACCAGACTGTCCACCATCAAGGATTTACCTCAAAATCTATACTGCCAGTCATCTATTGCAAGATCAAACTATTGACCCCCAAAAATGGTAAAATTCAAAACACTGAGTTTCGCAAAAATTTTGTTGCAGACCCTGAATGGTGGAAAGATCTGGCAACCAGGTGGGACAGCTGGGACATACCACTCTGGCCATTCTGACCCAAACATGGGCCCTCCTGTTGTACCTGTTGATAACCGTTGGTAATTTTCTTCTGTGGGACTGCAGTTCCACTCAGCACAGTCTTGCCAAAGGGTGGAAAGGGTTTGTGTTGGGATTTGACATTAATGTCCACCAGCACCTTGGATTTCGTGGGTCTGGGTGGAGTAGGCCGAACAGGGGCAGGTGTTGGAGCTACTTTCTTCGGGATGGAAACCTTTTCGACCACTTTCTTCACTACTTTGCTCACCGGTGATTTGACCAGAGGGACCTTGGTGACCACAGTTTTAACTTTGGCTTCTTTGACCGCTGCCTTTACTTGAGTTTTTGCTGCTGGAGCTTTGGTGGCCACAGTCTTTGCCATTTTTGTAGGTTCAGGTTTTGATGCTTTTGTGGGTTTAGGTGCCTTTGTAGCTTCTACTTTGACAGCTGATTTAGCTGCACTGGCCACAGTCTTCTCTATCTTTTCTACTTTAATAACTTTTTCAGTCTTTGCTTTTGTAGTGGTTTCAATTTTTGCCTGATTTGCAGCACCATTAGTAATGGCTTTCTTTTCTACCACAGTAATAACTTTGCCATTGCCATTAGCCTTAGCCTCACCATTGACTTTATTTTCAGCTTTTCCATTAACTTTGACTTTAACCTCTTTAACCTCAATGGTAGTTTTGCCATTTCCATTGGCTTTCTTCTCTGCTGTAGCTTTTCCATTTCCATTTCCATTACTCTTAGACACAACAGTGGCTTTTCCATTTCCATTGGCTTTCTTTTCTGCTGAGGATTTTCCATTTCCATTACTACTGACTTTCTTCTCAGGTACAACTTTGCCATTGCCATTCACTTTAGCCTGAGCTGTAGGCTTGGCATCAACTGTAGCTTTGCCATTGCCATTCGTTTTTGCTACAGCGGCTTTTCCATTGCCATTACTATTGGCTTTAGCGGCACCATTTGCTTTCTTTTCAGCAACTGGTTTACCATTGCCGTTCTTAGCTGGGGCAGCTGTGGGTTTAGATTTAGCTGCTGCTGTTGGTTTGATCTTAGACAAGAGGATCTCTACTGCAGTGGGCTTGGCTTTGGATGGCTTGGCTGTGGAAGACTTTGGAGCTTTGGTGGGCATAGGCAACTTGACTACAAGTTTGGATGGTCCAGTCTTGGCTGGCTTAGCTAGAATGGGTTTCGGTTTGACAGGGGTGGATTTAGTGGGGGCTGCTTTTCCATTGAGCACCTTCTTCTATTAGCCGTAATTATTGTTTGGTTGAGATGTTTTTTAGTATGTAAAAGTGCATATTGATAAATATAGTGAGAGAGAGTGGAGGAAGACAATGATACATGGAAGGGTTGGGAGGGGGATGAAAAGCACAAACAAGGGATGGACAGAAGGAGAGAGAAAGACAAGAGTGGATGTTTTGAGAAACAATGACATAAAGATGGCCAAGGCTTGGATGATTTACTGAGACTGTACAGGCATTACTGGATACAGCAGATGATTATTACAAGTTTTAAAACAGTAAACAAAAATACAAATGAAAAAAGTACCATCACTTAAACAAATTAAAAATAAATTTCATGTCAGATTATTTTGAGTTTTTTTTTTTTTTTGCTGATCTCTCCAGTAATGCCATTCCCAATATTAAATGACAAAGCAGCATCTTTGTGCTAATATGAACTGGAGCCTGTGGTTTGGCAGAGGCACTGAGGGTGTGACTGGTCAGGTAAAGCTGGTGCTGAACATCCACACACTGTACAGACATACACACATTACATACATACACACACAGACACACAGAGTTTATAATGCACTGAGCAGTCAAACTGCAAGATAGAGAAAGTTAGTGCTATTTAGCCATGCAAACGAAGGAGCTAGAATGCAAATGCATGTTAGTCAAATAAAACCACTAAATGAAAACAGCAGTACATGATTAATTGGTACTACTCATACTGCTATAATATAAATACATGCAAATTAACATTGTAAACAGACTGACAAAAATTTCACCCAAATAATATAGTTTGAAGGAAAAACAAGCCATCATCGTAAATATAAACTCCTTAAATATGCAATACAGAACACAAACAGACTTAAAGGAGACAGCATGTGGCATACATCTCTGTCATGTATGCCATACAAAGGTCAGATGTACAACCATGAATGCATATACCAAGACAAAAACATGTGCATTGATATTCCCATGTTGAGAAGAAAACTGATAACGCAGAAGTACAGGTGCATGCGGTGACATCCTCCAAGACAATTATGAAATCATGCAAGTAACAAGACAATACAGACACATGCCCTGGTCAAATGGTATTGCAAATCTGTGTTATTTGTGATCAACTATGAAGCCAAATAGGTGTGGTTTATCATAAAAGACTGTGCCAGAAAATCACAGGAAAGCATTTGAAAGTTCATTTATGCTTTTCTGTGATTACAAACTTAACACCCATCTTGTGACAAACTTAATTTATATTGTACAAAACATTTACAACGACTATTTGACCAAGATCAGTTTAAGAAAAGGCTACTCTGGCACATTCTTAAGTTTTTCCTATGCTAAGTTGTATTTGCATGGCCACCTTTCTTAACCTTTGGTTAACAGTCTCCAAACATGCCAAACATAAACTTAAACTTGGTCTCTCTAAATTGTCAAAAGGTCTTCCTCTATTTGGTGGAACAGGATATGTGAAGAAGGATTAAAGATTGAAGTAGAGAAGATTGTGAGAAAAAGTATACGTGTGTCTAACAACACAGCTGCACCTACACCTCCCCAGTGCCCCCACTTGGCCACATCCGAACACACATACATTAATGACAACATGTAAATGACATGAGGACAAAAAAATTATCAGGAGCAAAGGTAAACCTGTGTGACGGAGACGGTGGAAACGGATGTGTTAAGGGTCAATGTGGATTAAAGAAAAGGTGAAATGTGAATGAAACAAAGAAGGTATGGAGTGATGAGGGATGAGAGAGGCATATGCTAAACATGAAAATTAATATTTTCAAACATTTTAGGAAAAGTAAATTTAGTTGACACTGAAATATTCAGCAAGCTAAACCTATATCTTATGAATTAAGCCATTATTGCTTTAATACCCTTCTCTCTCACTCTCATTCTCCTTCCCTTCCACAAACCCTGCTTGGGTTTTCCGTCTCTCTTGCTCCCTCTTTACCTGTTGATTGGGGGCCCCAGGTTGGGGAGAGGGGGACGCAGAGGAGGAGGGAACGCCTGTTGTTTCCTCATAATAATAGGGGTATTCATGGTCATCCTGCTCCTCATCAAAGTACTGAGAGAGATGTGGGAGTGGAAAGATTGAAACATGGGAAGGGTGGGTTGGCGGGGGGAGGAAGATAATGAAAAGCAAGAGGAATGGAGGGAGAGGAATGCATGAAGAGGGGGAGAGTGGATTTCCACGGGAGATGAACAGGGATTGCAGAGGACACAGGTACAAGGTAAAGAAAATGGGTAAAAGTGGGGGGAAGCAGCAAGAGGGGAAAAAATAAAACATGGTGATAGGCAGCAAGAGACAGCAAAGGAGATGATAAAAAATGCAAAGCTTTTATTTTTACATTCATCAGAAGGAGTCTGTGTTGCTGGTTAAAAGATGTTGATATCAAAAATGTCCATACACAGACGACCTTGATGAAGCAAAAAATAAAGCAATGGGTGAAGCCAATGAATAAAACCACACTGATTTATATTCATTCAGAAAGCAGTCATTTCAACAGCATCAACATGACAGGGTTTGGGACGCAAGGTGTTGGAGCTCTGTACAGTGACTGATACAATTTGTATTGACTGATCCGACATGCAGGCTTATAAAACAAAGGTCATGTACTTTGGATGGATGAATGCAGATGAAAAATCACTTCACTTCAGCTCTGTGCTGGTGTCAGGGAACTGTCAGCTCCCAAATATCAGTATGTTCTTGAGAGAAAAAGAATGAGGGAGAGCTTGCAAAGCTAAATGTAACGTGCACAACCAGTCTCAGTAAGCAAAGAGGCTCCACCTTAAGCCATCTTCATGCCAAATACTTATTTGTCTCAATTTAACCAGAGAACCAATCAGAATTTAACTTCATTTGCATGTTTTATGTTCTGGACAAGTTCTCTTTCTTTCAATCCATGGGAAAAAATTGGGAAAGACACTGATGTTGGCTTGTATCATCCTCTTTCCCCTACCTTTCTGTGTTCCATTGCAGTAGAGCAAAACAAAAGTGACAACTAGTCCACTGCTGTAACAAATCAAGCTTATGTTTCTCCAACGCGAAGGGTATGAAATGATGGAAATGTGCCCATTCATAGAGGTGTAGTTATGGAAAGGTATGAGATGACAATGCCTCTGCTCTTCTTTAGTTACCCCAGGGACACACAGACCGAGGAGGTGAGGAGGAAAGTGGATGGATACAAACTGTTGCTGATGACAGGGATGCGTGAGGAAGACAGAAAGGGAGAGCAGCACTTTGATGACATTATCAGATGACCCAAATTAAACCTGAGGACTTTTTTTCATTTTCAGTGGACTTGTGCATTCAGTGTGGCCGTTGCCACACTTATCAGACCATATTTTCATGTAGTGTAGCTTTACTAACACATGCAAACAGACTCTTCTTGTAAAGACTGAATGTCTATGTCTTTAACTAATGTCTTTAGCTAAAACAGACAGAATGCATTTAGGGAATTTTTTTCTGCACCAGTTCACAAGTTGAGAGTTAATTAGAGTCAATTAAGAAGATTCCTAACTGACTTACGGTTAGGTGACCCAGGAATATCTAAGTGACAGCAATGATATGATAAGACCTTTTTAATTGTTATGTTTTAGCACTTGTTGCTTTTTCCTAACTTCTCAAAATTTTTCTTCATATTATTCCTTGATCTCACGGCTAATGAAAATAAAAAAAGTGTAGAGAAAAGAAAAAAACAACAACATTCACACTATTCAGATCCAGTGAATATTTCTTTGTTCATTTTCCTTCGTCAAGTAAATCATCTTTTTAAAAGTGCCACTGAAAAGGAGAACAGAGTCCACAGGTTCTGTTTTGATCTGCTTTATTGGAGCTACAGATGAGCCTATAATTTTATGAATGAGTTGTGTTAGCATAGTGCTGAAGATTTTAGGTTATCTGCTCTGTAATGGATGCTACTCAGTAATCATTGGGACCATGGGATTTGTGTGTGTATTTACTTTGTGTGAACAACTGACACATATAGCAGTTACTTTTATAAGAGGTGTGAGTGAAATGTAAAGGCTGGTTACTGTACCGTTGTACCCTGCTGGTAGGTTTTCAAGATAGTTATTCACTAAGAACGTTACTTGTTGATTGACTTATTCATATGTCTGCGTATACGTCTGTGTATGAACTTGTGTTGTGGTGGTGTTACTCACGTATGTGTTGGGGTCCTGAGCCTGGGTCTTGGGCAGTGGGGAGTCACAGTCAGGGCTATAGTGTTCACAGAAGTCATAGGCAGCCTGGGGGTTGGAAGCAATCAGCAGTTGCTGGATATCTCCCTGTGAAGAAGAGAAAAAAACAGATCAACAAAAAGCTGAACAGCTGCATCATCTATAATGGGACTTCTAAAACTTCTAGTATTAATGTTATTAATTTCAACGAATGCCACCTTTTCTGGCCAGAACTTGTTATTAATTTCAACGAATGCCACCTTTTCTGGCCAGAACTTGTAACTGTGTTAACTGACCCAAAAATGTTAAAACACAAAAGCTGCATAATTAATTGAAATATTACTGAAATCGGAATATAAGTGCAATATGCCCTGGCCTACAAATCTTGATCTTCGGGTGTAAGAAAACATGTTTGTTTGATATGAACCCAAACAAATCGCAAAACATATCACAATCGCAATATCTGTCAAAATAATCGCAATATGATGTTTTTATCATATCGCGTAGCCCTAAAAAACACACACCAAAAACACCAACAAATATACGAATATATGATTTACCTATTCAAGCTTTTGTCCCTTGCAAGTTATGCCTATCAAGGTCCTCACCTGGAAAACCTCTTCATCAAGCAGACGGGCTCCGAACACTGTGATGCCATTGGTGTCAACCTCTGCGTTGTTGCCACGGGGCAGGGGACGGGTCATCTTCTTCTTGCAGTCCAGCAACAGTGTCACGTTTTTCTTTGAAACAGAGAAAGCGATGCGGTGCCACCTAGAGACAAGGAGGAGGAAACAAAGGCGAATAAATGTGTAATGTGACTACAGGCCTAATTAAAAAGGTATCAGATCAATCCTCAAATCCCATGCACATTCAAATCAGTCACTCACACACATACTATTCCCAACCACTCACAACCACACAACCCCAATCGTGTCATCTCAACCAGTCACAAACTGGTTGTTGCTGGTTACTGACTTGCCATCAGCCAGGTTGACGCCTCTGAACAGTGGGTAGTCCTCAGGGGCTGGCTTGCCGTTTTGGTCCTCGTACAGGAAAACGGGTGAGCGTCCCAATTCGATGCCCAGCTGCTGGATGCCCTGCTCGCTGTAGATGGAGAGAAGGAAGGCCTGGAGACCAGCCTGGGCCTTAACCAGAGCCATGATGGAGAAGTTCTCTGGGAATTGACCTATTGATGAGGGAAGGAAGGGCAGGGAGGAGAGAGACAATGAAAAAAGGAAAGGGTTTGATCATGAACATGGGTCATTACTTGGCTGGCTTGTAGGTATTTTACAAGGACAAAAATTAGGAAAAGGAGGCAGTCACATAAAAAGGAGACAAAAAACGGTACACAAGAAGACGGAATATAAACTGAACTGGAACTTGCACCAGATCATTTATTTATCAGCAGAAAAAGAGAACTGGTTTCAAGCAGGACAGATGGATGGCTGGGGAAGGAAGGGACAAGAATGGAGTCATAGTGCAGGATGAGAGGTGAGATGAGAGCTTTAAGTGATTAAAGTAAGAGAACTGTGTCAGGATCAACTGATTTTAGAAATATCAAATAAATAGTCCCTTGTGAAGGTGGCACAGATGATGAGGACACATAATGACAGGTGGGCAAAGCTGGAGAAGGGAGGCGAAACCTCAGAAAATGAGTTGAAAATCAGCTTTGACTTTTGACGATTTCTTCAAAACCACATAAGTGCTACTTTCTCCTTACTCTTGAGTGTCAGAGAGTATACTAAAGTTAATTTGTTATGGCTCTCCCACACAGTTTAAATGAGCTCCTGCATTGCAACACATAATTATACTTTATATCCATGAGGAATCTAGCATAGGGCACAATAGCCTCACTTAACTCAGCTCAGTTTAAAATACATCCAAATGTATACAGAAACCTGTAAGTCTAATTATAGGTTTCTGCACTATGGAAATCACAGTAAATATGTTTGTATGTATATGTACTTTTTAAAAGTTGAACCCATGGCTCAGTCTGCTTCATTACCAATGACAGTTCCCTAAGAACGTATCCACTATAGCCATGGTGTTGTTATGGATACCACTGTGCAATCATTTTGAGGCTGGTTAAACTGTTGGGGACCTGTGTTGTAAACCTGTGCGTTTAAGGTGTCTGGTTTGAACCAACAAACACCTGCAACTTGCAAAATAATTAGAAACCAGTAATAAATGTTGTGTTTTGCAGTCTGAAAATACATACATGCATAAACAATTTTAACAACAACTTTTTGTGGTAAATACTATACCAAAATAAAAGTAAAATTCTAACACTCAAATTTCAGACCTGTATATACTATTCTATATTAGTTTATTCCATTGCCATGGAAGTGGCAAGATATGATCACAGCATGTGACAGATAGACAATTAACCTTATGGCAATTTACAGAGCAGTCTCCTCAAATACTCAAATGACTTGATTTCCAGTCTAGCTGAGGCCTACCTGAAAACAGCTGCTTGGTGGGGGCAGAGATCTGGGCCTTTTTGGTGATGCGGTAAGCATGATCGGGGGTGCCGGAGCGACGGGATGTGCAGAAGCCGGGGACTTTCTTCACACCCTCGGGGAGAGAGGGAACCTGCAGAGCCCGCAACACATCCACTGGGTCTGAGGAAGAGAAGCAAGAGCAGAACATTTTCATTAGATCTCTTAACAAACAACTCATTAGAATAGTCGCCATGTGTGACACAGCAGCTTAATTTGATAAGTAAACAAATTAAATGTCAAAGCTGAAACTTCCCCAGAAATCCTGTAATGATACATCAGTAAATTACACATATTCACCCATAGTCCAGCTTGTCTGGAAACCTAAAATACAACATCTCTTTAGTTCTACTTTCTGTATCACTTTCTGGGGCTATAGAGGTGTACATGTAGCAAATCTGTGATGTGTAAATGGATGGAAATGTTGCAGCTCTACTTTATGAGTTATACAGATATGCTGTGTATTTGCATAAACATGCAAACAATTACCCACATATGTACATCAATAACAGCCTAATTTTACATTTGTTCCATGCTGATAAAGATAAAGATATTTTATTTTAGAAAAAAATCACAAATCATGGTTTTAGGGTAGCTTGTGTCTGGCTCTGGCTCCCCTGTAGTTCACATCTGGCTTTTCAGAAGGCCCATCATCCTACTGGCTCTATAGAAATCACTATAAAGGTCAAGATACTCCTGAAATGTTGCAGAATAAAAAATGTAGGATAGATTTCACTGCAGATATTCTTTTCAGCTGCAGGGACCTAACTTTGCCCAGAGGATCAAAAAAGTTAATCTTGAAAGTAATCTTAAATATTCTTGCTGCACTAATGCGATACAGCAGCAGGTACAGAGGATGTCCACAATGACTACCTCTGTACATTTAGGTATAATGTAAGAAAGGAAGCACTGTGTCAGACCAAAAATAGGCCACAGTCCAAGCCACATATATGAACAACTGAGGGGCAGGTAAAGTAAAGCTCAGTTTAAATCAGAGCAAAGACAGTGGACTCTATTCTGCTCACATTTATCAAGCAACTGAAACAAGTGGCTGTTAATGTGATAGTGCTGAGTCAACTGAATATTTGTTTGAAGATACACAAGCATTTCAGTGTTTCACTTGTCACGCACAAACACACAAAAATTCAGGTACACACACACACACACACACACACACACACACACACACACACACACACACACACACACACACACACACACACATTCCAGATATACAGTATGCACCCTAACAACACACAAACACTGAACCAACCAGTCTGACATCCTGTCTCCACTTTCACACACTGAGGTCAACCAGTCTGTTTCTCCACCCTCTGTCTGCACTGTGGTTTAACTTGCTGGTTTTCTCACATTGCTCAAAGGTACTGTGTCAGTCTGTGTATTTCAGTTTGAAAAACATGGCTCTAACTTGCAATATTACAGAGGTAGAAGCAAAATCTAAGTGACAGTCAGGCTACATGCTTATATCTATTTTGAAAGAAAAGTGCTACCTGATGTTTTTTGCTTAATGTTGTCTCCTTGTCCTCTTAAGTCTTACTGTTTTGGAAACAAACATCTTGAATGAACTGATAATTTTTAACTAAATTTACAGCTAGCTTGACATTGATGTCAGTACTTATTTCACCACAGTAGGCGTTAAATCTTAAAAAAGGGCAGATGTCTAATTGCTCACATGGGTGGACTTGTACTGTCTTGTTACAGAGCAGCATTGTGGTGAATGCGGTAGTTAGGATAATGGATTCCTGTTAAAAAAGCAGCACCGCATTGATTCCTATGGGAACACTATCTGTGACAGAGCCCAAAGATTGGGCTCAGTCTTACTGTTTGTTGTAAAATTGGTTGTTCAATCTGTTTCCAGGGAAAGTGAAATGTTGTTGTTGTTAGTCCACTAAGAAGACACCTCTTTTAATTTGAACTAATTTTATATAACTTTTCCCAAGATGTCGAGCTGTTGCATACCCTGCTGTCTAATTCAAGATGGAGTGACAAATATGCTTGACACAGATTCTGCCAAGGTTTCAAAACAGAAGTCTTGCATACATTTCACTGAATATTTTACAGTCTGAGAATCCAAATCAAATGTAATTATAAAGTTACAACATCTTGATGGTTGCCTATGGTTTTGAAGTGAGGCAGCTATAAAGTTAAAGTTTTCAACAACATTTTCCTGAACTCAGTTATCCTCCATCTGTCTTGGCTAGCCTTCCTATGTTTGAGGTGCACCAGAGAGCTAACTTTGCTGTTAACAGCCAATTAAAATCATCTGCAGCCAGCCCTGCTGTGGCATTTCTCATAATAAACTTATGGTGGCAGTGATGCATTGCCCGTTTAAAATTACAGCACTGATGAAAAGACAACAACCAAGCCCTCCCGTGATGCAGCATATGAAGTTTTCATTCAGTCAGATTAATAAACTTCAACCGCTTTAAAAAGCATCATATTTAAGCAGAAATTATGTAATCATGCACACCTCAGCATGTACAACAGAGCATAGGACAGCAAGAACACCACTACTGCCACACTCTTATTCGACACCAGTGTGTCTGCAGGCAACACTTTGGGTAATGTTGATGTTATTGAAACTCTTGAAACTCAACATGTTTTTTAGCAATTGTTTGACCAAATAAACATTGACATCAACCCCTGACCTGAGACACAGATGTCCACACGGAATTAAATGAAACTACAAACATATAGAAACACAGTCAAACACTAATATCACTTTATAATGAAACCATAAACTGATAAGCATGATTGTATAAAGAATCTGACAACACTGAAACACTGTATTATAAAACCATCTTAATGTGCAGCCACTTAAGATGCTTTATATTGGCCTCTAATGTGAAGTTTCCTATGTTTGTCCTAAACTTACACTGATCCCATCAGTGGTACTTGTGTTTAGGTGACACCCAGTGTCTCAAAGTTAACAGTTAGTCAAACAGACCCACAGATGGTAATATTTATTCAGACAGAGCAAATGGTGCGTTAATATTGCCTCAGGGTGTCTAGACCTCAGTCCATTAACGTCACTCTACACCAGGGACAGAAAGAGGAAGAGGAGGGGGGAGTAAGAGGAAGAGATGGAGTGAGGAAGGAGGGGAGAAAGAGAAGGATGTATAAGCAATATGTAAGGAGGAGGGAAAGCGAGACTTACATTGAGTGATATTGTGATGCAACATTAACCATCAAAACGGACTTCCATTAAAACAGTTGCTAGAAGGCAGAAATGAACAGAAGAGAGATTAGTTAGTGAAATTAGAGACAGGTCAAAACAGAAATGAAGACACGCATGGAGAGGAGGATTAAAAGAGAGAGAGGGCATAGACTAGTGAGAGGAACAAAGAAATGTATGGTTCCTTGTTTAAAATTCTATACTTTTTCCGGACATCATTGTCTTGGCTAAAATGTTGGAACACTCAATATGAACAGGACCCGTCAGAATTTGTGTGTAGTTTCCAAACTTTTCAAACTGTCCAACACCTGAGTGATTTATTTTTTTTCATACTTTTCAAGACATTTGCAGATCTGCACAGGAATGCCAGGAATGAGAAAGAGGTAGAGGGAGGAAAGGAGGGAGGGAAATGAGAGGATGAAGGAGGGAGAAAGAGGTTCAGGCAAAGGTGGTGTGTGTGTGTGTGTGTTTTGGGGGGTCAGGCAGTGACAGTAGACAGCGTGGTTCTGTGATGGCAGGATACTGGATCAGATTGCAGCCCGAGCTCCCCCAGTACACCCAGTACAATGTGCCGCTCTGTTCCCCGCTGCCTGCCCAGCTCACATCTGCAGCCGGGGCCCTTCCTGCCTGGAGGACCACAATCACGACAAAAACACACCCACAAAAATAACACACAGTGCCACAGAGGTACACACACAGCCCAGGCTGGGAAAACTGCACCAATACATCTCAATGGACAAGAAGTGTAAATATGAAACTGGACAAGGTAGAAAAACAGAAAGCAAATGGGAACCAACTCTCTCTCTTTACTCTCTTTCTTTTCCTTCTTCCCACTCCATCAGTCTTTCTTACCATAAGCGCTCACAGATGGCTGTAGCCCTTTGATGTAAATGTGGGCCAATTACACTGCTGTCATTAAGACAGGAAACAGGGCTCCTAGGCACGTGAGGGTAGTTAAAATGGGTGCTGTAGGTAAAAATTACAGTAGCTCATACAGTTATCCCTACTGACAGCTGCACTGACTGAAATAAAAAAGGCCATTTTCAGTACACTCTGATAATAACAGTGCCTTAATGACTATGATGTTGGTGATAGACAAAATTGAATCTGAAAATATTCTAATAGTGGGGAGAATTTGTATCTGATGTATTTATATATACAGCACAAGCAGCTAAACTGAATTAACCTTTTTACCACTGAACACAGGGATTGTGGGATTAGGTGTGCAAATCTAATTTTTAAATCTGCAATGCTTAAAAACTGTGATCAGTAAAGCTGATTAATGTTACCATATATTTCTGAAGATCTTCAAAATACCAACTTGATTTTACTGAACACTAAATCATTTCTAAAGTAATCTATTCGAATTCTAATCAGTCAAAATATTTAATTGAGGCAATATGTAAGTAACTGAAAAATGTAAGTGGTGTAAAAATGAAATAAAGACATGCTGTTTTGTGTATAATGGGGCCCTGTATGATGGGGTGGATGTATTTTTTCAACAGGTGCCCCAGGGCTGAAACAATGCTATCACTGTTATACACTAACACACTCAGCTCCACAGATCCACAACTGACCAAACATGCAGACCACCAGCTTATTACCTGATAGAAAACATATGTGATTCCCAGGTTGGCAGTCACACTGTAAAACGAGGTGTGCTGCTAAAACTGCAGTATTTTTCAGTAGTGTTTGTGTTTCTGTAGTTTCTCTCAGCCACCACTAGATGGAGCTAAAGCAGATTTAATGAATTCTGTGAAAGTCTGTTTAAGAGTTGGAACCACATGATGTTACACACACACACACACACACACACACACACACACACACACACACACACACACACACACACACACATATAGGTGTTTACATGTACACACACTATGCAAACACACATGCTCACAGGAGTGAGAGATAAACAATGCTA